TTAACTTGGAACCATTGAATGTCTTAAGTCTTGGAAATTTTCAAGTTAGTTTTCTAATGAGTCAAACTTTTCTAACGATTTTCAAAATGGTATATAATTTTTGAACAAACTGGGAACTTGACCAATTAAAGATAAATGTGATATAGATTTCAAATTTAAAGATGTTTTGAACTTCTTGTAAATGCGGGAATCAGAGTCGCAGGAAATCGAAGTTATGTTACGATTTTGAGAGCATGATATTACATCGACTATGAAAGAAAGGATAAGATCTCAAAATTAGCTTCTCAAGCAGGAAAAAGCTGGCCACTTGACCAATTTAAGATCTGAAAATGTAATAAATTCAGAGATCTGCGAACTTGAGATGTTTGGAATCATTCAGGGAAAGTCGGGACCCACTTCCCCAGTGTTCCGAATTCCATGGCCAAAAAGCGGGCCCAATGAAGCAGGGGCGTGGATTGCAGGAGCGGAATGGGAGCGGGGGGTTGGAGGGTGGGCCTCAGCCACCCCAGACACAGGGCGCGTATATATGTTTGCCACTGCCACTGCCAGCATTTACAGCCCTATGTGTGCGGAGGGTTGCTATATAAGTGGGCACGTATATATATATATACGTGCAACATATACAAGGGAGGGTTCCATCCGTGCCGCAAAAAGCGAGGCAAAGTAAAGCGCTATAAGAGCAAATATGGCTGCCAACACCCGAATTCGACACGTAAAGTGACGCGTTAGCTGCGTTGCTATGACAACCCAAAAAGGCCTCCTGACTTCCCCCATTTCCCGCTGCCCAGGAAAATCCCCACCCCCCTCTTCCCTTTATCCCCCAAAAATAAAACCGAAAAAAATCAACGTGGAAAATCGGACAAAAAGATATAAGAGCGAAGGAAACGGCTTGGCTTTTCCAGGGTCCTTTTCCTTTTTTTTGGGGTTTTCCTTTTGAACTGAACGGGACGTAAATAAAGTTGATGCGGCGGTCTATATTGGTGGGTCATCGGATTTCGTTTAATGAGATTTTCCGTACACGTCGTCGTCAGTCAGTCAGGTGAAAAAGAAGCGGAGGATGGAGATGTGTCCCCCGGATCGGAAAAGTTCACCATGGTGACGCGAATTTTCCGGGGGAAAACAACGCGCTCTCCGCCCAAAATCTCCGGGGAAATTCGCTTGGAGTGCGAACAATTGAAAGTACATACCACAATTCCTCGGTCAGCTGAATAAAGGCATATCCCGTCTTAATTAGACGGATTTTCTGCATTACAAATTTGGTTTCTTTTATGTAAAAAACAATACAAGCTGGGGACGGCTTAGAAAAACTCATTATCAGTAGACGTCCTTTGAAACATGAGTAAACGTGACAATAATTACACATATGTTTAAACAGGAATAAGAATTAATAAATCAAAATAGCAGAAGTGATTGTGCTTAAACTGTAAGGAAATTAAATACCAAGAATGGGTCAATTAAAATCAAATTACTTTTTAAAATTAACAAATGGTAATCAAAACTATTTCGGAAATCTAACAACAAGAAATACATTTAAAAACAATTTTTTTCTTTCTTGAAACTATTTCCATTTATTGGTTTAAAATGTTGCATGAGATACATTTAAATTTTGGGTGCGTTTTGTATTTTAACAGACTTCGTATGGTTCTTATATATATATATTATATGCCGCTTGGTTAGGCCTAATAATTTTTAAGAAAATAAGACAAATATAAAAACTGAATCTAATTAGTAATAATACGTTCCAAAATGGCGCACTTCATAGAGCCTTATGTGCGTAAGTTGAAAATTCCCCGAGCTGCGTTCACTTTTGACACGGTTTATTTTTTCGCCCCCGGGAATTAACCCAAATTGCTGATATGTTCGTGGCACATGGAAAACGAAATAAAAAATTCGAAATACAAAATACAAAATACGAAATAAAAGAACACAAAAGAGCGCGCAGGGTGCAATCCATTCAAATCAAGCGAATCGGTCTCGAATCAACGAAATCCGGACGCAGTTCGGTGCACTCCGAGGATTTTTGTTTCCTTTATTTTTGTTTCGGTTACCCATCTTCTGTTTTGTGTGTGTGTCTGTATTTTTTATCAGCGCTCATCTGCCTGTCTGAATTGAGAATTTCGAACTGCAATCTCGCCCCTGAAAAACAAAAAAAAAAAACAAAACAATTGTTTCGATTGCGCAAAACGTGAATTTCGTTAGCGAAGCGATCCTGTAGGATAATAGCTCAAGGCTGTGTGCCTCTATTGTTGAAGCCCAGAACTCCCGGGCCTTGAATAAACCGTTTGTCGGCTAAGCAAACAAAGTAATTGGGTTGCCAAATATTGCGCAGGGATTCCCGACTCCCGATTTCCCGATCTCCCCCACCTATACATTCAAATATTTCTTTATTTCGTTTGGAGATCTCGAGACGTTGATAAACACGAGCAGCCGAAGGTGCATCCTCTTTTCTGAGTCGGCGGAAACAGACAATTGTCCTTCGGTTAAGGGAAATGATCCTTTCTGGCGATCATTTTCTAAGTAGAGGATCTACGAACCTAAGCCGAGAAGCTAAGTAGCTGCGATCGCCGCTTTTAGATAGATCGATTTACAGATGCCGAGATACGAAAGAGTTGTATCCCCCTCCCCACTCCCTCGTTTTATGGGATTACATTCAAATCCCGAGGATCTGGCCAATTGTGCGTGGGTTCAAATGGGTTCTACATTCCTCAAGGTGTTGCGCCAGCTGTCGCTCATTCAGAAAGTCGCCGAACGAAGGGATCCCGCTGAATTCATCATCGTCTTTATTCGGGGGAAGGAGGTACGAGAACCGTCCGAGAACTTCTCACAAAAGAGAGCTTTGAAGTGGCCGACGAGCCTGACAAAACAGCGCACACCCAACGAGAATTATTAGTAAGAACTAAAATACATTGATTTAAACGTTATATGTTTGTCCTACTACAAATTTTAAATTGGTTATAATAATTAACAGAACAATTATCATGTTTCCCTCTCAAAAGAATGGCTCCTTGAATTTATATTTATATTCAAAAAGAATCATAAGGAAACATCGCTTAACTTCGGGTATTTCCTGCAGCCTAACCACCACATCCTTTGGCATCCTCCAGAGAATTAGCTCACTTCCCAGTTCAAACATTTCCCCTTGGGCGTGTGCGTTTGATTTGGCAGGATCTCTGGGCTCAAAATGCCGGCAAAAGGGGGACGCCTGTCATAACTGCACAATGGGAATGAGGGACGCGAAATCGCAGGACTCGCAGGACTTCCTTCCTTTGTTTCGGATTCCCCATATAGATTTCATTCCGCTCAGCGAAGGTAACCGATACGGATGCTTGTTCTTTTAATTGCTCGGGCGAAAACGATAGGCAATCATCATCGTCTGCATCTGAATCTGAGTCTAAAGCCGAAGCTGAATCTGAATCCCAGTCCGCATCTGAATCTGAATCTGAGTCGGATCAGGAATCAGGAATCAGGATGGCAGGACGGGGGCAGCGGCGTCCATTTGGCGTCGACTGTTGGCGGTCGGCGGCATTTTGATTGTCGGCTTTTGCGGCCGGCTCAAAACTATATCGAATTACACATCCCAGCTAGGCCAGTCGAGCAAACTGACTGATGGACTACAAAGCGGCCAGGACAAAGTGTCACTTTCATCCCGAGGCACCGAAATCGAAGCAGGAAAAGAAGATTCACTAGTTGCACTTCAGTTAAGAGCCATCAACTCGAACGCATTTTTAAAGAAAATTGTACTTTTTGGCAATTTCAGAAACACGATTTTACTTTTATACAAATCAGACGGCTTTATCATATGGCTGCCATAGGAGCAATCGAAAAATGTATGGAAAAATTAACCTAGCTTAATGGATTTTAGTCATCGAGATCGAAATAAAGAACATTTCATTTGAGAAATAACTGTATATAAACTGCACTTCTAAGCCCGTAACTTTTCTTACAGCTGATAAGCTCATAACTTTTCTTACAGACATCCGATTTCAAAGTGGCATACCTCTAAATGATCGTGGTTTAATTCTCTAAAAAACTGTGTTTTCAGTTTTTTTTTTTTTTTTGGGTCGATATTTCGTCATTTTTAATGATGTTACCCCTTTTCAAATTTTCGAAAAATGGGTTTGCAGAAAAGTGTCAAAAAACTGCACTTCTAGGCTCATAACTTTTCTTACAGACATCGGAATTCAAAGTGGCTTACTTCAAAATGATCGTGGTTTGATTCCCTAAAAATCTGTGTTTTTAGTTTACTTTTTTTTTTGGGTCGATTTTTCATCATTTTAAGCAATGTAACTAACCCCTTTCCAAATTTCCGAAAAATGGGTTTGCAGAAAAGTGTCCAAAATCTGCACTTCTAAGCTCATAACTTTTCTTATAGACATCCGATTTCAAAGTGGCTTACCTATAAATGATCGTGGTTTAATTCTCTAAAAAACTGTGTTTTCAGTTTTTTTTTTTTTTTTGGGTCGATATTTCGTCATTTTTAATGATGTTACCCCTTTCCAAATTTCCGAAAAACGGGTTTTGCAGAAAAGTGTCCAAAATCTGCACTTCTAAGCTCATAACTTTTCTTATAGACATCCGATTTCAAAGTGGCTTACCTATAAATGATCGTGGTTTAATTCTCTAAAAATTTGTATCCGGACTTAATTTTTTTTTTGTGTAGATTTTCCGTCATTTTCAACGGCGAAAAGTGTCAAAATACTGCACTTCTAAGCCCATAACTTTTCCTACAGATAAAAAATTATTATATTCAAAGCTTTTCTGAAGCGCGCGCTCATTCGAAATATTCTTAAGATAACGACCCTGTCCTTGCCCCAAAACCGCTGGGAGCGCCATCTAGCGGATGTGAGCAGAAGCTGCAACCAAGTTGGAAACCCAATTTATTGTATACACAAACCCTCAACAGAAAGGTGGCTATCGTTATTTAAACCGCGATTAATATCCTTTTGACCTGTAACATTTTTTAGCACGTTTTACTATTAGTTAAATTGGCAATACTGCAACGAACGGTCTGAGGACATTGAAACATTGAAAATCAAAAAATCGCAGAAAATAGAGAAAGGCGAAAAGTAAACGACCCCCGCCCCGCCCGCAAAAAAACGGAAATTCGCAATATAAAACACCGAAACGGAAACAATAAACAAAGAAATCCTTTAAACCGAAAGGAAGAAACGAAAAAAACCAGGACTTTCAAGTGTGATAAAATCGAACAAAGGAGAAAAGTCGGATTACGAATTACGGACTTTATATATGTATATTTATATATATATAGTTTGTATATAGCTTAATTCAGGGACTGGATTTGCTCGTTATCCTTGGCGGCTTCGTCCTTTGTTGTTATTGAATTATTATGTAAGCTTTTTTTGGAGTGTTGTGTGTGTTGTTCTTGTTGTCGCAATAAACTCTTTATTGTCAAAGGCAATTGAACGGCCCACGCCCCCTTTTCGTCCACCCATCCCCCATCCACCATCCACCATCCGCCCACTTTCCACCCCCACAAAAAAGAAAAACACAAGCGCACACGCAGGACACGAAGGACCTTTGTCTAAAAGAGCCAAGTTGTTGCTGTTGCACTTATTTGATTTGATGACTAAGTGTTGTGTGTGGTTCGGTTTTTTTTTTCGGTTTTCTGTAAAGCAAAGGACAACGGGGCGATATCGATCGCCAGGTTGCCAATTATCGATAAGTCGCATGACGTGTGCGCTGCGAAATTCAGTTCAAGGCAACGCCTCGAGTCCTGTGTCTCCGCTTTGTGCTCATCCTTCGCGCCCCATCCCCCACTTGTCCCACCCCTTTTTCGCTAATTTAATAACAACATCCATGATTGCACTTGCGAAACCGATAATTTGAACCTGTTCTATCGATTTTTTCGATATTATTATTTATTCCGTTGCAAATGGGAACTTAAATGTGTATTTATTGTGGGTTTTTTGTGGTTCTTAAAAGTTAACAAAGGTATTACACATATTTTATTCAACACCAAACTATTACAGCTATTATTTAATTGATTTGTGATTTTTATAAGTTAATAAAGGTACAAAATATTGTTTTCCCATTTTCAATTTATTCTTTGAAAACAAAAGCTTATGAATTCATTTGGTTTGTTATATCGTATAATTATACACTTTAATTGACATAAGGTGGTATAAGGGTATTCAATATTTCGCCGCTGACTAATCAATTTGTATAATCTTTAGCTAATAAGTTTATTTAGTTTGAATTTATGCCCCATATTGCATTTCTTAGAGTTCTGGACATCTCATGTTTGTTTAGTTAACACTTTAAATATGTATTTTCTCCACGTACCTGCTTCTTTTCCTTTCAGAATTCTCTACAGGATGTTGTCGCTGTCGTCGCCGCCGTGGCTGCTGCTCCTCGTCCTTTTCCTCTTCAGCAATGGCTCGGCCACGGTGGTTTCCTTCGCGGAGAATGTGACACTGGCGACGCTACCTTCTTCCTCGCCAGTTTCCGTGAGCTTCAGTCCGGTCTCCTCGGCTGCACCGCCCGTTTCCGTCGACCTGGAGAACCAAACAGCAATTGGTGGCCTGAACGCGAACAACGAAGCCAGCGATGAGCAGACAACTGGCAACAGCAACAGCAACACCAGCAGTCACAGCAGCAACATCAGCCTGCCCAGCGGCAGCAACATCACGAGCAGCAGCAGCAACACCAGCAATCCCAATCCCAACGCGAACTTAAGTTCAGTGTCCACTCTAAGCACAACGACAGCGGGCGTTTCTGGTGGGGATCGGGAACGGGAGCGGGAACGGGATCGGGATCAGCAGGATGCCCTGATCCTGGCCACGCCCACCGCCTTAAACGGCAGCAGTGCGCCCCCCGAACACCAGACAATTGGCCAGGCACCGCCCACAAAAGGGGAGCAGGAGGCGATCCTGCGGGCATTGGACTGGCTGAAGGAGAAGCGGGCCTCGGACTACGGCTGGGGCAACGACACCCATGTGGTCATCCTGGCCAAGGAGCTGTCCGGCGGTCGGGACCCCAACGACAGTGTGGATGCCCATGTGCTGGTCATCCAGGAGCTGGAGGACACGCTGTCGGTGAAGGAGATGGAGATCGAGATACTGGCCATGCTGGACCGCCACCACACGCTGCCGAAGCCCCTCGACCTGGACAAGCTGGCTCGCTATGTCCTGGCCCTGGGATCGCTGTGCAAGGACCCCAAGCATTTCCATGGCCACGACCTGGTGGCCACACTGCAGCACCACGAGCCCGCGCAGGACATCGAATTCGCATTGACCACCCTGTCGGCCTGCAGTTCGGCGGCGCATGTAAGGAAGCGCCAGATCCGTCGGCTCTTAGACATCGCCAGCGGGGTGACGGACCAGAGTGTGGACGCCATTGCCATGGTCATCCTGGCCCTGCGGTGTATCGTCACCGACCACCGCCACCGGCACCTGCAGCACTTCGTGCGACGGCCGGCGCGCGGATTGGCCAGTCTGCAGGACCAGCGGGGCAGCTTCGGTTCCCTGAGGAGCACGGCACTGGCCATGCAGGCGCTGCAGGACCTGGAGTACGATCCCGCAGGACACTGGAATCGCACGGCCGCCTCGCGCTACATATTGAGTCGCCAGCGGGCGGATGGCGGATGGAGCGAAGAGCCGCTGCAGGATGGCCAGGAACCCGACATCGGAGTGGGCCTCACTGCGGACATCATCCTGGCACTCGGTTGGAAGGGATTGGGTGCCGTGCGCGCCCTGCAGTGCGACCATGTGATACGCGAGAGCAGCGATCCCACGGGTGAGTAATCCCAACCAAAAAAGGTTAAATATAGATTGGGGTCACCAATCTCCAGATCACAGTATGTTATACTTCTTCGGATAAGGGAAAATATATAGGAATAGATCAGAGTCACCAATCTGGATCGTTATTTACTCTTAATAGAATGTTATACCTTCTAGTTTTCAGGTCTTTAAGTACAAATATTTTATTTATAATATTATAAAAACAATCTTAAGCATTTGCATAGATTATGTCATTTATGTTTATGTTTATCAGAAGGGGAGATTGGGGTCACCTAAACACCTAGAATGGTTAATTAAAAAGCAAACTTTTATAGTTGTACCTTTCTAAAATCAGGGTTTAATTTCTCTAAATCTATCTATAGAACTCTTCTGTAATTCTGAAATTCTCTTAGAATTTCTTCTATTATTTGATTATATTTTGACTTAAATTATATATTTACCCGCAGAGAACGGAGAACCCAAACTGGCGGTTCCCTTCGGCTTGAGTTCCTCCGCCGAAGAGTCCGATGCGAAGAACATCTCGTACACGTACACACTCTGGGTGGGATCCAATGTGACCGAGGCCTTCTCCTTGTCCCTCGTCTCGCCCAAAAACACTAGCTTTTTTAAGGCCATGACCCAGGCGGCCGAAATGGATCCCAGGTGAGTTGGCATAAATGATCGAAAGTGATCCTTAAATAGGTTTGGAATATCCATGACCCATCTATCTACTGCCTTCCAGATTTATTTTCGAGGCTCGAGAGTGGCCCAATGGCCACTATGTGCACACCCTGTACGGCAAAAAGGAGGAGCCCCGAGGGTGAGTCTCATCCAGAATTTATACTATACCCCCGGATAATAATGGCAAACGTACAATCAAAATTTCAGGTATCACTACTGGCTACTTTATCGATTGCCAGAGCTGCCCGATCCCAACAATACGCCCGGGAATCAGCTTATTGCGCCTGTTGGTAAGTGCGATTTGGATTCATGGTTATAGTGGAACTTCTCTAACTCGATGCAGTATCTTGAAAAATGTAAGGGATATAGTTACTTTCTGATCTAATGGTTTAAGCCCTTACAGAACTTTCAAAACTATTTCCGTCCGGGGGTTACCAAATCCTCCAGAGGTTTGAAACCAATTATAAAGGTGTGATACGATATATTTTTAATGCAAAGGCATCATTTGAAAGAGGTTTTAAACCCATAAGTGCCATAAGTTACATTAGGGAAGATGAAGAAATACTAAGCCACCCTTTTAAAGGTTTATGCTTCGAATGTAAGGGTTTCAAAGCTCCTGCCTAAAGATACTTGATTTATAGTTGGTTTCTCGTTCGTTTATTTTGTGAGTTAAAGGCAAATAAGAGTCAGAGAAGTTCGACTACATCGAACAGGTGATAATCCAGATGGGAACCGTTGCAGGTGTGGACGAGCTAATGGTCGAGGATGGGGAGCACTATCTGTACTGGTACAAGAAGCTCTAAGCACGCGGCCTTAGACGGAGCTGCAGTTTAACCCACTAAGCAAAGTCGATAAACACCCGGTGCTATTGGACTATACCTAGTATATGTATGGCCATATAGTCACGTCTCACACACACACAACACATACGCAACAAGCGATAAGAAAAAAGGCAAACACACTCGCCCAGGAATAGGTGTATGTGCTACAGGTATTCCTGAGTGGGTGCATTGCTCCCTCTATTTATATTGCATATATAACTGCATAATAATGGCGTAATCAAAAAAAAAGAGAAAAGAAAATACAAGGACACCAGGGACAAAAAAAAACAACAAAAACACAAATAAAATCACAAGAGAGTGAAAGATCGGTGAAAGGAGGTAAATGTGGAAGCCCTGATTTCTAACGGATAACTAGGATATAACACCCCAAATAGTTAATTGCTCTAGACCTCACAACTGATCTCGATTCGGAGCACCTCAGGCTAAACTTATGCATAACGATAACTAACGAAGGGAGAGCAATAGCAATGTGAAAACAAAAACAAAAACCAAAATATCGACTTAAATGCACTAACAACTGGCATCGAACGGTTAGCAATCCGTCCGTTTTAGGCCCTCTCAAAAGCTTCGCTTCGCAGCGATAACTATTTCGTTGCTCGTTAAAAGACACCCAAAACTAAGAAAAACCAAATGCTTTATATGTTATTGAAGTGGGGAAGGACAATGGATCTTTCGATCTGGAGGTAGACAAAACGGAGGAGGAGATGGAGGTGGAGAACGAGGCCATCGAGCTAGTCCAAGCGAAGCATGTTATACCAAACACCGTACGTAACAATAAGTGATTGAAAATCATCCTTAGACATACACACATACTGCATAAATCGATATATACATCTTGCATATACATTTAAAGAAAACCAAAAAGAAAAACAGAAAAAAAAACTAGTTTTATATGAAGTTAAGCAAACGAAAAGGCCGTGGCATATTATATAACGATTATACAGGATAGCGACGAGGAGGAGAGAACGATACTACCCCAGGACACTATATACAAACGCTCTATATGCCCGTCAAGAACTATTCACTCCCCATTATTACGTGCATACATATACCCCATGCCATACTACCCAAACTACATACATACATACTGCAAGCATACATATAATACTATCTATCCCCCGAAATGCCTACTCATTATATATCGCCACCCCCATATTTCTTCACTTGTCACTCGGAACTCGGAACTTTCAAGCCGTTGATCTTAAAGCCTAGCCTAACCGAAGAAAACTACAAACTACTAAAACTACTACTTGAGATCTTTAAGTGCAGCAGCGAATCCAAAACTAAACTAAACATTACTAACCTAGCGATCTAAACTAACTCGTTTATATTATAAGCATGAAATTGAGCTTTTTAATTGTGCAGATCCCAAATTAGAACACGAAACACCCACACCTAGACACTGATGGAAAACGGAGAAAGAAGCGTAGGATTTGAGGAATGTGTTATGTATGTTCTTAAACCCAGTATGTCCCCTCTATGAGTACCCATAGAGTTATTTTTGAGGTCCACAACTTTCGAGTGACAGCAACAGCCGGTACATTTGAGCAGTATATTCCGATTCCACACGAACTTTGCAAAATTGGTACTTACTAAATTTTACTTTGTTACGATAACTGTATCTAAAGTAAAAACAAATTAATTAATGATGAAAATAGTTATGGTTTTTTAAAGAAATTAAAGTTTTACCACTATTAGTTCTTTAAAATTGAATTAGTTGATTGAATAAGTTATCTTGCATACATATGAACCCGCTGTTGCTGACTTCTTATATTCTGTTTGGTGAGTGGAGAAAGTAACAAGAACAAGCGTGAATAAACATCAAAATAATTGAAAACTACATAAAAAGCGTTTTTACTTAAGATCTGGGTCCAGACTATAGATAAACCTTTTAGTCTGGATTATTGACAACAGGTAAGTTTATATATTCTCAATTTAAAATGTAAGCTTTATTTCAGCATTTTAATGCGGAGAGTTGGCTCATTTTGTTTTCAGGCAGAGTAACATTTTGGTAGTTTTGTTTTATTATTACGTTAATTCTTTTTAGTTTGCCAGATTTTGCGCTGTATATTGTATGAATATAATATATAATATATAGATTCGATATTCGTTTGTCTTTGCTACGATTTGAAGAAGGCCGCATAGAGCACGAAGGCAACAGATTTACAACATCAAACACTTTACAAACACGTTTCGATTAGTCATGCACACATTACACACACACCTAGCTAACTAGGATGGATTGGATTTGGATTTGGATTGGCAACAATTCGAGTTCATAATTGATCTTGATCGTTTCATCTGGAATTTGTGGTTGCAGTTTGTATATAGGAATAGTAAAAGCGATAGATTCATGATTTATGTATAAAAGAGCGGTGCGTTAAGTAATCCTTGAAGAATTCAAAGTTCAATCTGGAAGCTATAATAATCTCAAGTTGAGTTCATCCATTTAAAAAAAGAAATGGTGACTCTGGGATGCAAAATATCTCAGTGTAAGCGAATAAAAATGTATAGGAAAATATTTAAGTAGTCTCCATTTTGAACAGTAACATTTAGTTAAATATAATTAATAAATAGGCCTTCCTCCATTTTTAACAATGATTAATTAATGAACTTGAATTCTAAATTCCACATTCGAACTATGTTTTCTATCGTTACATTGCACATTTGATTGAATTGCGAGCAAATTTTGCGGTAGTGGAATCTTCAGACAAGTTAAAAGTTCTTGTTAAGGATTACTTTCGTCCCGCTCTTTACTGTATATATTCTAAATATGAATGCTTAGGTTTACGTAGTGAGGCGGCTTTGCTTTGTTCTCCTTTTGAGTAGCGCTGTTTCCGGGGCATTTCCCTCCTCGATTTTGTTCGCTGACATCTGCCATCTCGCCCCTTTTCGTGTCCATCGCTCACATTGCGAAGCTGAGCTGCAGGGCATTCCGCAGTTCGTTGAGCACCATGGATCCGATGACCATCTTTTCGCAGTTGACCAACAGCGTGAGTGACTCCTCCGTTTGCCAGTGCAGAGTGAGGAGGACGAGGCTCTTGGAACTCAGGGTTTGACCGGCAAAACAGTGCAGCTGGCCGCTGGAAGAGCTGTGCGTGTGCGCCACATTGATCGACTCGAAAACCTTTTGCCGCAAGGCGGTCACATCGATCAGATCCCGCCTCAGACCGCGCAACTCGCACTGGTGCTCGTTCATTCCGCGCAACTTGGCTCGCTCCTCGCGGTGACAGCTCTCGCCGATCTGGACGGATCTCACCAGCTCGCCCACCGGCGGCTTCAATTGCAACCGTGAAGTGCCGGCACTGGAGATTAGCTCCAAGTCCACAGCATGCGTGGAGTCGTTGAAATCCACGCCCAGCACTCCGCTGGCCGTTTGTTGCGGCTGGAGGATTGTTATGGGTGCGAACTCATTCAACTGCATGCCTGCCGGCAGAGTAGCGGGTGCCAAATGAATAGACGTGATCTCCTTTTCGCCACGGTTCTGAAACTGCAGCTCAATGGAGCACATGCTCGACGAGAAGAGATGCGGAGATCGGGTGAAACGGTAGGCCAGCTGCAGCCCATGGCCACTGACCTTGTTGAGCAGCTCCTTGTGCTTGAACTCGATGTGCGAGGGACCCACCAGCTCTACCCGATTGCGGGCATGCTGCGGCTGCAGTGGTGCCGCCTGTCCGGCCATTAATGGAGTGCCTGTTAGGGATAAGCGGGAAAAGCATTGTAATAGAGTCATTATTTATATCATTTGCTTGGTGCTCTCACCAGGCGTCAGGAATCCTCCTAGCGAGGGTGTCATCACAGGACCAATGGGCGGAATGTCATCCAGATCGAGCAGCAGATCCAGATTGCTTTTAGAGGGCGGTTGCTCTGATTGCTCTGGCTGCTTCTCCTGCTTCTCTTTCATCTTCTCTAGTTTTGGCTCCCCTGCTGGTGGCTTCTTCTTCTCCGCTTCGTTATCGCTGTTGGAGTCGCTATCGTCACTACTGCTGCCACTGTACGCCGACGAGTCCTCGCTGTCCGAGGTGCCGGAGAAACCATCCGCATTGTTATTATTGTTCGTGGTGGCTTTTGCCGGCGAAGGAGCCACCTGCACTTCGTTACTGCCAGCATCGATGAGCTGCTCCTTGTTCGAGGAAACCTTTGCGGGCTGCTCCTTCTGGTTCTCCTTCTCTGCGCTGCTCCCGCTGCCATCGCTATCGGACTCACTGTCGCTGGAGCTAGAACCACTGCTGCTCCCGGATTCCGAGTACGATGACGACTTATCTTCTGATTCGGAAAGGAAGCCCTTTTCGCCCGCACCCGTGCCCTTTTCCTTGCCTCCGCCGCCGCCGCCGGAAGTCGCCTTGGAAGTTCGCCCTGAGGGCGAATCCTCGCCAGGCAGCTTCTCCTGCATAAAACCAGCTATGTTGCGAACTGATGAGTCCGGCGGAATAACCGGAAAGGCAGGCAGATCCTTATAGCCAGCCGCTGGCATATTCAGATAATGGGACAACGATCCCAACTGGAAGGTGTTGCCATCGCGGTACTTGCTCTCCGGCACCGGAGCCGGTTTGCTGGCCAGAAACACTTGGCGGGCGTGCTGACTGAGCACCGAACTCGACCCGCTGGCCGGGAAGATGATCTGGCGCAGGAAACGGGCGCGATCACGTACATCGTAGTTGGGATCGTAGCGGGCCAGTGTAAAAACATACTGACAGAGTAGCGACGTCTGCTCCGGATTGGTCAAATAGAGCTTAACGCCCAGATTTAAGACCTGCAGCTTGACCACGTCCTGCTCGTCTACAAACGACTTGGCCATTTTGCGCAGCACATCAGGTGCAATCAGTGGCACCTTCTCGTTATACTCTCCTATCAGCCAAATGATAGCCGCGCGAGCTGCCGGTACATTGATGTAATCAATCAGCTTGGCCATCTGGGTGATGATCTCGAAGTGCTCGGCTGCCTTTGTCTGCAGCAGACGCTTAATCACCACCACGCTCTCGGCCACCACGTGCTCTGAAAGGTATAAATAATGAATATGTGAGAGTGTCAAGCAAAATAGTAAACCCACCATCATGATTGGACAGCAGGTGGACCAATCCACTCAAACAGGTCTCGGTGACCTCCTTAATGCTCGACGCACATCGTCCAATGGCCTGAATGGTGGCCGCCACAAACGAACGATCGCTGCTGGAGATGTAGGTTTGGAATTCACGTAGGATAAGCGAAATACTCCCAGCAGAGGCCAAATTGGTGAGAATGTCAAGCTTGAGGAGCTTGAGATGAGTGGGATCGCTGGTCCGGACAAAGAACGACTTGAGATGCGGCTCAAAGATGCCCTTTCGCTTGGTGGACATCGAGGCTATGCAATTGAGGACCACACTCTGGACTTCCTTATGCGAACGTAGGAGTCGTATCAGCGCCTTGGCTATCAGTTGGACCTCATTCTTGGGCGCCACATGGTGATACAGCTGCGCCACGGCCATCACAACGGATGCATTTCGCGATTGGAGCAGTGGTTTCGTTTGCCTCAGCAACAGGCGGTGATCCACATCAATGTGGTAACTATTACTCGGCGAACTGGGCGTCCTACTGCCATTATTATTGTTATTGTTATTAGTTCGGGATTTGTTCTTCTCATCGTCGTCATCGCTACTGTTGTTATCTTCGCTGTGGGAAGAGGAGTGCGAGGACTCGTCGTAGAAACGTTCATTTACCGGCGTTTCGCCCAGACCATCTGCCAGATCCTCTTCATCAGCATTGGGATCCACAAACTGAGTGCGTGCATAGCGGGTCAGCATGTTGATGATTATCACCTGACCCCACTCGTCCACATCCACCAGAAGATTGCACAGCTTGCGATAGTTCTTGTGGATTAAGTCCACGCGTTCCGGGCAGACCTATGGAGATGTATTATTAATGACTGGGGGAATAGCAGATTTTTAAGCAATGAACTCACCTCATCGAAGGCCATTACTGCCGAACCGACCACCAAAGTAGTGCGATCCGAGAGGAGCTTCTCTATGACCATGACCAGTTCATCTTTCTGATCCGCGTCCAAGGAATATAGCTTGGGGATCGCATGGGCTGCCGTCTTCCTCACATAAGGACTCAAATCGGCGGCGCTATCCCTGATGGCCAGCATAACAATGGGCACGATCATGCTGACCCTTATGGAGGATAGCACCCGTAACGCCGAAGCGCGGATCAGTTGATTGGGATCCTTGAGAGCCCGCTGAAATGTGGAAATCGAGAGCAGGGCCAAGTCCTGCTGCTCCTCGGCATATCTCACCAGATAGACATAGACCAACTTCTTGACCTCAATATTCTTGGACACCACATTCTTGACCACCGCCGGGAACAGGTCACTGGCATCCCGACCGCGGGCAATCATCCCGATAATCCTTTTCATGGCCTCCAGCTTAAGTCCATCCTTGTTGCTATCCAACATCTGCTTGAGATCATCATGTTTACGCCCATCGGACTGGAAAAACGCTGCTCCACTTGCAGGATCAGCTCCGAATTCCACGTCCAGCCCCATTTGGGGTCGCTCCACGTAGGTGGACATGGCGAACGGATTGCTGGCCGTATTCTGCTGCATTCTCGACAGGGATCCCCTTGGAATCCGTATGACCAATTGACCACTTGACCTTTTCTCGTTTTTTTTTTTGTGTGGGAGTTGGCAGTTTTGATTGACGCTTCGCCGTGAAACCCTCGATCTGGAACCCTCCTGTGTATATATGCAATATGTAATCCTCGAGAGGATCAGGTGGTCAGCTCGTCCTGCCACGCAGCAGGTGAACTTTTTCGGAGGAACACTACAGGTTTGCCGAAAATTTGGTCAAATTTTGCATTTTTAGCTTTCAGAATTAGTGGTGAGCAACTACCGATAGGCATTTGAAATATACCAACTTAAATTAAATAAGAAAATACTGGAACCCAGGCTCCCATACTTTATGTTAGGTACTATATTATTAATATATGTGTATATAATAAGGTACACACCAAGGTAAGGGGGTGTCTATATAATTTTTGTTTTTCAATTTTTAAGCCCCGCCTCCCTTAATTTCTTGATTTTCCATTATTTGTGGTATTCAATTTATAGATTTTTGTACAACTTTATTTAAAATTTAAGAACACCTTTCACCTTTCTGTCTCATTTCGAAGCAGGGGTATATATTGGTTGGGACCATTTCCCAAAATTTGAATTTGTAAATATTTATCTATTTACATTTGTACAACTTTAGTACATTTGTACAAATAGCCACTTATCAGTGTGACCAATTTGCTTTCCAAATCGGGATTTCAGCAGCACAGCCATCTGGTCTCACCTGGCTCTCGAACAACTCGACAACTACGTGGCTGCTGCTCTATTAAAAGTAACTAAATCCAGGCCATTTAAACCCGAATCAACGATGGAAGCGACGCTCGCCAAGGTGCTGCTTCTTGTAGGCAGTCTGCTGATCCTGTGCCGCTCCAGCCACGCCTTCATCGTCAGCGTGGACGCCCACAACGAAGAGTGTTTCTTCGAGAATGTCGAAGGCGGCACCAAATTCGGTATAAAGTGTGGGATTTAACAGGGGATTTAGCTGACAAACATCATGATCCCTTCACAGGCGTCACCTTCGAGGTGATTGACGGCGGCTTCCTGGACGTGGACATCAAGATCAGCGGCCCCGAGAACCATGTGATGCACGAAAGCGAGAAGGAGTCCTCCGGCAAGTACACCTTTGTGGCACCGGCCAAGGGAACCTACACGGTCTGCTTCAACAACGAGCGGAGCAGCATGACGCCCAAACTGGTCATGTTCTCCATCGACGTGGGCGAGGCACCACAACGTGCCCCCGGAGCTCCCGGCGAGGAGGAGGTGGGCCACACCAAGCTGGAGGATATGATCCGGGAACTCTCGGGCACGCTGACCAGCGTCAAGCACGAGCAGGAGTACATGCATGTGAGTTGAGATGGCAATGGTTTTCGGCCATTATCACCTTCAGATGGAGCTATTAGTTGCCACATGAAGAGGAATGTGACATCGTTTACCTCTTATTAGGAAGTAGAGCCATCTTTTAAGCAAATCCCTAGACCAAATTAGATTGCATTCTGGTTTGTTATATTTCACTAGCTCAGCAACATGATGAAAGGCTTCTAAAGCAAGGGAAATACAACTGCCTACTGGGGTATAAATAGCAATGAGGAATCAGGAGCCACGCATTAGTACTAAATTATTGTCTATATCTAGAAGTCCAATTTCAATTCCAAATACCAGATCTCGTACAAACGGAGTATATTAAATCTTATTAGGCAACTATTTTTATTTGGCGATAAAGAGATATGTATAAGCCATCATTTCAACATATCCCTAGATCATATAACATATCAATGCCCTGATGCTTAATGCATGGAAAATAGTCAAGTCTTTAAAAGCAATGTTTATAAAGTCTTAGGAAAAGTCCATATAAAATATTCTAGTAATTTATATAGATAGTTGCTCAATATTTATCCGCTTTAGTAATTCACCTTTATACAATCTGTCGAATATTTCAGGTGCGGGATAAGATCCATCGCTCGGTGAACGAGAACACCAATTCCCGCGTGGTGCTGTGGTCCACGTTCGAGGCCCTTGTGCTGGTCCTCATGACTACTGGTCAGGTCTATTACCTGAGGCGCTTCTTCGAGGTCAAACGCGTCGTGTAATGCCTATTTCGACCAGAAAACCAGGATGAGAGGAGCGAAGGAGTTGCGCACTGAGCCTGGGGGAAATGTGTGCGCAATGTGTGTTGCAGTCTCAGAATTAATTTAAACGATTAACATCCTTTTGTAATTAAAATAAAATACCTTGTAAAAAGTAACTAGAGGCTGAAAATATTTCAAACTGACTTGTTTTCGGCTCGAGAACATTTGAAAAGAGATTTCTATGGCATCTATTAGAGAAATCATTTACAAAACAAGAGGATATATTTTTAAAAGACCAAAAATTAACACAAATTTCGGAGTTAAATAGGACAGCAAATATTTTCAGACACACATTTAATGGGGGAATGCCACTTTATGAATGTTTCAGTTATATTATAAAAACCATTTATGTTTTATAATAATAAATGTAATTCAACGTGTGCCGTGGAGTATACAAACTTATTAAAAGTAGGAGGGGAAATCTCAGAAAGATAAAAAAAACCAGTTTACAGTATTGAACTAAAAATATATATATATATGTTTTTAGACCCTATAACTACTACTACTCTCGACACAAGCCAGTGGAAATGGAATATAATAAAGTAACAGAAATCGTTTTGCAGCACTGGACCATTCAATTTTTATTAATGCAGAAATTTGGAGTTCGCGAAAATCTACTGAGATCATTGTTCAACTTGTCACAATAATTCGTATGATGGGGGATTATTCGGCTAATTTTCGAGTGAATTTTTCGGAGAGTGATTTTGCGGAGCGGTTATTTGACCAATGTCGCCAAGTGGAAAAACCCAATATTACTTTAGATTTGAATAACTTCAAAAAGTTATCCGAAAAGTTTCCCGCCGAGGTAATTCATTGGTATGCCTCGATAATCCCTGATAATCCATGTAATACCCTATTTCAGTTTCCCATCGATAGCTGCCGGGTGAAGGCGCAACCGGAGGATCGAAGCGAGCGAATCCGGGAGCAGATCGCATCCGCCTATCCGGTGATTCACGAACGCACCCTCATGCTCTACATCTCTTTTCTGGAGCACAAGCTGAAGTTCGGTAGGTGCACCTAAAAGTAGACCATCATATCATAGCAATTATAAACAGTTTCATTTAATTAAAAAATGTAAATCCATCAGTAACCTTACTTACTTATTTGTAACCCCAACCTTTGTAGGCAGCGACCAGGAAAAGAGGATGTACCAGAACATGACTGTGGTGGACTTTGTGCAGCGTCTTCTGGCGAAGCGATGTGTGTGGTTCTTCGGCGGAGGGGATTACTATCACACCATGGATGGAGAAACCGGATTCGATGGCTTCGAGGACGTGGGCACTCCCGCGGAGAAGCACCCTTTGAAACTAACCTCCGTGCTCAGCTACGACGAGATCAAGTTGGCCGCCCTGCTCTACGTCTCCACCCACTCGGAGTTCATCAACAGTGGACGCAGGGAGAATGCCGGCGAGGTGACCCAGAATAAGGACACAATCGAACGCGAGGGCGTGATTATCGGTCTGATTGGAGGCCGATTCGAGCGTCCCTATGTAATGGAGTACCAGGATATTATGATTACCCAGACCCAAAACACCCAAGCCAGGGGATACGGTTCGACGAACACCTCCACTCCATCTGGGGATCTTCGTAGAATTTGGCGAGATTTCTACGGCGAGCCGAAGGATTTTATTTACGAGGAAGTATCGGAAAAAGACGATCGGATTGAAATGGTTCCGGAAGGTTTTTTTGATCACCAAATAATGGGGAAGCGATATGCCATCAGTTTTGATACCCTCCTTATTGAGGCAGATTCGAGGGCCGCCAAGATGGGTAAGCCCGCCTACATCCATGTGGTGGGCATCGGACTGGGTGTTTGGAGGGTATCTCAGCGACAGACGCGGACCTTCTTCGAATCCTTCGAGGATCGATTGCGGGCACTGGGATCACGACTCAGTCACATCGGCGTGGTGCGCTTTTCCTCGTTCCATTCGGCACATGTGGGAGGCCTCTACGATGGAGCCGTCTTTCCCGTGGACGGACATCCCCAAGGGGGTATACGCATCCGCAATTCAAATCGAAATCCCGCCGACAAACTGGCGGAGGACATGTTGCTCGTGGTTACCTATGCCTGGGATGGAAATGCCCTTCCCGGCAACGAATTTTGGTCGGTAAGTGGCACACAAGATTAATTACGTACAAATATAAGGTTGAAAAGTAAGAACACTTGGGTGCAAAAACAAGCAAAGTTCAAATAGTTTCTTTTATGGATTAACTAATACTAATTTGAAACAATCAATAATAATAGATATCAAGTCTAAAGCAGCATGTAAGATCTATTGATTATCATTTTTTATTTTTCAGTTACAAATTCAATGATAATGTTTAAAAATGAATCCTCAAATTTTTCCTCATACAATATCAATGTTTCTTGATTTTAGGTTAAAACATTTTAAGCTGATAAAACCATATAACACTAAATCATATTTGATTGTTAATTGTGTTTTCCCAACAGGGTTCGCTGGCCGGCTCTGGAGATCCGGCAGCCGCCTGCTCCACTCTGATTTCAGAGCTGCAGAATCCCCACATTAATGTGGGGTACATGAGTGGATCCAATCTGCACGTCGCCTCCGAGCACCATGGATTACTCCACGTGGGTGATTACGCCAAGCGTGTGGTATTTTAACTTTAGCTATTTTTTGATATTTTTACACTTTATAATACTCTATTTAAAATCGGCTTTTTACAGATTGCCTTATTAAATGTATAGCTTCGATAACAACTATACTTTAAAGGCTTGTAAAACTTGTTTAAATATTTATCAAGTGTTAATTAAACTACGTAAGCAAGTACTGCATTTTGTGTAAACTAATTAATACAAAAATACTCATATCTTGGGGAGTATTAATTTATATTAAAGTGATGTGTTTATACATGGTTTTACAAATAAGATGGGAAAAAAAAGACACAACAAATTGTTAACTAGACGTAGGAATTAAAAGAGTAAAGTGAATCATTGCAAAATGTGTAGTGCCTATTTCGTCCAAAAAACCAGGATAATAGGAGCAAAGGAGTGTGTGCCCAATGTGTGTTGCAGTCTCAGAATAAATTTAAACGATTAACATCCTTTTGTAATTAAAATAAAATACCTTGTAAAAAGTAACTAGTGGCTGAAAATATTTCAAACTGATTTGTTTTCATCTCGAGAACATTTAAAAAAGAGATTTCTATAGCATCTATTAGAGAAATCATTTACAAAACAGAAGGATATATTTTTAAGACCAAAAATAAAGACAAACTTTGGAGTGAAATAGGATAGCAAATATTTTCAGACACATATTTAATGGGAAAATGCCACTTTATGAATGTTTCAGTTAATTATAAAAACCATTAATGTTTTATAATAATAAAAGTAATCCAACGTGTGCCATGAAGTATACAAACTTATTAAAAAAGAGTTTAAAGATATAATATATATAAAAAAATATATAGGGTCTAACTACTACTACTCTCGACACAAGCCAGTGGAAATGGGATTTAATACAGTCACAGAAATCGCTTTGCAGCACTGCGCAAATCAACGTAAGCTTTTACGTTGCAACGTCTATTTTTATCAATGCAGAAATTTGGAGTTCGTGGAAATCTATTGAGATCATTTTTTCAACTAGTCACAATAAGTCGTATGATGGGGGAAATGTGTACGAAATCCGCCGATTATTGGGCTAATTCTCGAGTGAATTTTTCGGAGAGTGATTTAACCGAGCGGTTATTTGACCAATGTCGCCAAGTGGAAAAACCCAATATTACTTTGGATTTGAATGATTTCAAAAAGTTATCCGAGAAGTTTCCCGCCCCGGTAATACATTGGTATCCCTCGATAATCCCTGATAATCCATGTAATACCCTATTTTTTCAGTTTCCCATCGATAGCTGCCGGGTGAAGGCGCAACCGGCGGATCGAAGCGAGCGAATCCGGGATCAGATCGCATCCGCCTATCCGGTGATTCACGAACGCACCCTCCTGCTCTACATCTCTTTTCTGGAGCACAAGTTAAAGTACGGTAGGTGCACCTAAAAGTAGACCATCATATCACGGCAATTATAAACGGTTTTTCAAAGTTTTGTAACCACAACCTTTGCAGGCAGCGACCAGGAGAAGAGTATGTACCAGAACATGACTGTGGTGGACTTCGTGCAGCGTCTTCTGGCGAAGAGATGTGTGTGGTTCTTCGGCGGAGGGGACTACTATCACACCATGGATGGAGCAATCGGATTCAATGGCTTCGAGGACGTGGGCACTGCCGCGGAGAAGCACCCTCTGCAACTAACCTCCGTCCTCAGCTACGATGAGATCAAGTTGGCCGCCCTGCTCTACGTCTCCACCCACTCGGAGTTCATCAACAGTGGACGCAGGGAGAATGCCGGCGAGGTGACCCAGAATAAGAACACAATCGAACGCGAGGGCGTGATAATCGGTCTGATTGGAGCCCGATTCGAGCGTCCCTATGTAATGGAGTACCAGGATATTATGATTACCCAGACACAAAACACCCAAGCCAGGGGATACGGCTCGACGAACACCTCCACTCCATCTGGGGATCTTCGTAGAATTTGGCGAGAATTCTACGGCGAGCCGAGGGATTTTATTTACGGGGAAGTACCCGAAAAAGACGATCGGTTTGAAAAGGTTCATGATGGGTTTTTCGATCACCAAATGATGCGCAAGCGATATGCCATCAGTTTTGATACCCTTCTTTTGGAGGCGGAGTCGAGGGCCGCCAAGATTGGTAAGCCCGCCTACATCCATGTGGTGGGCATCGGACTGGGTGTTTGGAGGGCATCTAAGCGACAGACGCGGACCTTCTTCGAATCCTTCGAGGATCGATTGCGGGCACTGGGCAAACGACTCGGTCACATCGGCGTGGTGCACTTCTCCTGGTTCCATTCGGCACGAGTGGGAGACCTCTACGATGGAGCCCTCTTTTCCGTGGACGAACATCCCCAAGGAGGCATACGCATCCGCAATTCGAATCGTAATCCCGCCGACAAACTGGCAGAGGACATGTTGCCCGTGGTTACCTATGCCTGGGATGGAAATGCCCTTCCCGGCAACGAATTTTGGTCGGTAAGTGGCACACAAGGTTAAAAAGAACGAATATTTGGGTGCAAAAACAAGCAAAGTTCAAATAGTTTCTTTTATGGATCAACTAATACTATTTTGAAACAAAAAAAATTAGATACCAAGTCTAAAGCAGCATGTAAGATCTTTTAATCAAGTTTTTGCCTATGGAATGAATTACATTTTTTATTTTTCAGTTACAAATTCAATGATAATGTTTAAAAATGAATCCCCAGATGTTTTCTCATACAATATCCATGTTTCTTGAATTTAAAACACTAAAGCTGATAAAACCATATAACACTAAATCATATTTCGTGTTTTCCCAACAGGGTATGCTGGCCGGCTCTGGAGATCCGGCAGCCGCCTGCTCCACTCTGATTTCAGAGCTGCAGAATCCCCACATTAATGTGGGGTACATGAGTGGATCCAATCTGCACATCGCCTCCGAGCACCATGGATTGCTCCACGTGGGTGATTACGCCAAGCGTGTGGTACTTTAACTTTTGATATTTTTTGACATTTTTACACTTTATTATACTCTATTAAAAATCGGCTTTTTACTGATTCTCTTGTTAAATGTATAGCTTCGATTACAAATTAAAGACTTGTAAACCTTTTTTAAATATTTATTAATTGTTATTAACCAAGTACTGCATTTTGTGTGAACTATTTAATAAAAAAATTACTCATATTTTGGGGAGCATAAATTTATATTAAAGTGATGTGTTTATAAATGATTTCAGAAATGAGATGGGAAGAAACAAAGGCATAACAAATTGTTAACTAAACGTAGGAATTAAAAGATTAAAGTGAATCATTGCAATATATTCTAAAGAAATGTTTTGAAACCAAACAGAAGTAATACAAATTTTAACGAAACGGCTCTCTCTTTTAGAGTTGATAAGAATGTGGTCTTTGTGTTTCCAGGCTGAAAACCGTGACTCAATGGTATTTAATCATACCCAACTAGCAGCTGTGGAAATAAGCCACCATATTCCAAATGATTCAACGCCCGCATTCTACCAATTCCATTGAATGAGAAATTGATTGTGTGTTAACCATTACTGAGTTCGTTTATTGAAATTGAATAGAATTATTAGCTGTCAAATGACAGAAATGTGATATTATTGTATGTACTGTATATAGATAGCAACAAGTAACACAAGATCCCATTTTTATGGCTCTCGCCGGCGTTATATGGGTCAAACAATGCAATTCCCCGTACTCTCTCACAATCCCAAATCTGTTTTGGTTTTTTGTTTTTTGGCATTCTTTTTAAGTATTAAAAATTATTCGTATTTAAAACATTTTGTTCTGTATACTTCTGAAACAGCGTATATCGAAAACAGTGATATAACATTCACAACAAGTTTATGCTCAAATATAATATTATTCTTAATCAACAATAGCGTTATCTGTACCGGTGCACACGCCCCCGATGAAGAGTGCGGCGTTACATAGCCGCATCTCCCTCGATTTCCCACTGTTCATCGATTGCACTACGTATGTACACTTGTCTATATATATATATAATATATATACGATATAACTAGATATAATATAATTTCGTTACATTATTTTGTAGGTAATTAGTGCGAGAAACAGTACAATAAAATCGAAAAATCAAGCACAAATATGCTTAAAATATGAATTAGTTCAAGGTATATATGCAAGTAGGTAGGTATTGTTAACGCTTTTAGGTTTAGTTTTGTATTTCTAGGTAATATGTAGGTATATAATGATGGCAAACTGCGTGAGGATCTGAGTGCTCTCCACAAAAAAAAAAACAAAACCTGACAACTATACAATCGAACTTTTGTTACTCAATCTCGCATTTCCCAAACTTAAATCTAAGTCGTAAACTATTTTTATATGTTGCTAATATATTTAATATTTCATTTGTGACTTTCACTTTCAGCTATAAATTCCATTTTATTTCGTATTTTTATGATATCCTCTTGCTATTGAAACTTTACTTACTTGACATCTTGAAAAAAATATATTATACTAAATACAAAATTTCACTGTAGTGAAAATTACAACCGAAATGATTTCATAGATGAACACAGAGAAATAGTTTAGAACGTGGCTTAATAATAGATTCGCTGTGCAAATCGAAACAAGTATATATTTAACATAATAATTATAATGAAAATACATAGAAAAAAACCAAAAATGCCTTAAAGCTTCTTATCAACATTATTTGTTTGTGATTTAATATCCGAGCCCTAAATATGAAAATGAGTGAGATATGGAAATCATATTCCCTTGTACAAATTCGTTATATCGTTATTTTCATGATTTCTTTTGGGGGGCTCGTTATTGGAGGGGAGGGCAGGAATAATACCAATACCAGATATAGCATACAAAAGCAGCTGCGTTAATTAAACTCAATTGAGAACAGCTTTTTGAGTCACCCAAGTTCGACTGCATAAATATATATGCTTCTTTCTTATATAACATATATAACAGAGCGGCGATAACAAGAAATCACTCGTCATGTCCGTTTATTGTACTGCGTGTGTTGCGTTGCGTGTACGTTGCACGTCATTCTTTGGTGGATGGGCGTATGTTTATGGAGGCGCCAGCGCTTGTCCATCCGCCTCCGTTTTTTTTTTTCATTTTTCCCGTAACCCGTACCCATTTCGGACCAACCTATTTTCTACTCGTCGTAATCGCTGATGAGCAGGCCGCGCTTGCTGAATCCCAGCGATGAAACGGCGGCCAGGTTGGGCGTCGTATCGATTCCCTCGAAAAGATCGCTGGTCGCCGAACTATTCAGCGAGTTGAGGGTCACATTAAAGGTCGACCTGCCGCTGGCCGTGTGGAATCGCTCCTGGAGCTGTTGCTGCCGCTTCAGGCGGTCCAGTTCCTCCCGCAGCGCCTGGTTACTCGCCCTCAAGCCGTCCGCTTCCCTCAGACAGTCACGTAGCCTGTTGTGGGTGGATCAAAATTGGAGTAGTTTGTTTATTCTGGCAGAGTATTGGTCAGGGTTTGTTTGTTTTAGGGGGAAACCGCATACGAAGATTATGAAAATCTCATGTTTAAGACTTGAATCATAACGTGTTTCAGAAGCCAGCTCATTTTTCATGAGATAAGAAAGAAAAAAACCGCTTTGTGGGTTCTTTTCTACAACAAAAAATCCCCTTCATCATATGCAGCAATCAAAATATACAGATCAGTTCTCATTATATCTGATACATATTGTAAACAAATTTAAGTCTGCAAGTAAAAAAGACATCCCATCTAAGCATGCAAATATTTAAAGGTCTGATAAGAGCCCTATTTAAAATCCAAAAGGATCTACTAATAGATTGAAGATCAAAACTCCGAGAGTTATGTAAATATATACCTCTTGAAGTCTACTTTTACAAAAAACAAAAAAAATACGAATTTTTTAAAAAAGAATAAGATTGTATCCTGATTTTACATATATTTAAAATTTACATTTTACCGAATTTGACTATAACAACTACTACTTCTCCTGAAAAAAGAACCTAAAATGTTTTTCACGATATATGCCTTCTTAGTTATATATAAAATCTTAATACAAGAAGTTTATGTCCTAATCAAAACATAAACCCCTATAAAAACTATATTTTTCTATTAAAAAAGACAATAAGAGCGCATCCAACTTGGATTTCCCTTCTTAGGCATTTAGTTAGGGTCCTATAAAAATAGTGTTTTCCCATGGAGAAATCGTTTCCCAACTCACGTGTCAATCTCGCCCTGCATGCTCTTGATGTATTCGCAGGCTTTGATCAGAATCTGCGACTTGGAGTCGTTGGGCGGCGTCCGTCCGCTCGAACTGCTGGGATTGGATCCATTCTTGGGATTGCTGCTGCTGCTGGACGTACTGGTGCTCGTACACGTACTTCCGCTGGTACTGGGACTCGTGCTGGCCTCAATGAAGCTGGAACTGGTGCTCAGACTGGGCAGCATCTCCTTAAGCTTGAAGATCCAGCTGTTGATCTTGTCCCGACGCCGGCGTTCCACCTCGTTGTGCGTGGCACGTCGCTTGTCATCCCGTTTTTTGTACGCTTCCAGTTTGCTGGTGGGCGTTTGGCTGCCGCCGCTAGTTTCCGGCTGGGATCGCTGGGCGTGGCAGCCATAGAGGACACTAGTGGTGGTGTTACCAGCAGGAGTTGGGTTAACTACGGGCTTGCAGGCAGTAACGCTACCGCCAGGAGTACTTTTCTTCTCGCCACTCAGCGAATCCAGTTCCAATTTAATCGCAGCCTTCGAGGGCTGCTGTCCCACCAAACTGGTGGTATCCTTGACCAGATAAATCTCACAGCCGGTGGGCAGCTGCAAGTTGGTGGGCAGCAGCGAGTGGACATCTAAATCGGAGCCGGGTTCCTGTTTAATGGCATAGTATTCCTGGGAGTCCTCCGAGTTCTCATCGCCGCAAATGGTGAGGAATATCTGGGCACCCTGGCTGTTCATCAGGGCATTTCCCGTGGCGCTGGTGAGGATTAGGCTTTGATGGCCGACCAGGGCCTCCGATAAGTCCGCCGTGTGACTGGGTATATTCGCTATAAGGTTACCGCCTGCAGGATGAGCAGCGAGATTATTGGAAGTGGAACAGGAGGTGGAACCGAGCTCCATTTCCAGACGTGGCCGTTTTCGCACATTCATCGTGGCATCGGATGAGTATGAGTCCCAATCCCAATCACGTAACCCTGGATCTTCCCGGGATCTCCTCTGTAAGCTGCGATCTTTGTTGGAAGGTAGAAAGATATGGCCGATGGCCGATCTGCGATATTATTAACTGCCGACTGCCACGAGGATTTGGACTTGATTTGGAGTCGAGCGCTTCGCCGGATTTTTGTGTTGTGTTCGCACGGCCATTTAACAACACAATTTGTTGTGTTTTTTTGTTAGCAAAATTATTTTCGTTTAGTGTGCCCGCCGGCGGGCTGCGAATAAATGCCGACAAATACACACAGCAGGTGTTGGGCAAAGTGAGAATACAAAATTTAGTATTTTTAGGAAGCTTATTGTTTATGTAGTTAAATATTATACATATATAAATTTAAAGCTCACACCCAAAGGAAAAAAATGACATGAAATAGCACTTTAAAACCATACAACTGATAAAGATTAAAACGAAGTAACCTAAAAAAATTAATTAATTGATTGTTAAACAGTTAAGCACACCTAAGGCCTATACGAAAGCATATCTGAATTATGTACTCACAAACTGATCGCCAAGCCACTTACTTTGAAGCCTTAGTACATAACAGATATTTTCATGCATATGTCCAATTATTTTCAAATTTTAAACCAATGAACTGACAAGTATTTGAATATATTTTCTTATTTCAAAAATACCAGATGCGTATACGTAATGCCCGTTGTAAAATAGCTGGCTACACTGACGTGCCAAAATGTCGTTGACTTCGCAATTCGTTGCGAATTTGAAACGCTTTCGCCTGGTGACCTTCGATGTAACGGACACGCTGCTCCGCCTGGAGGATCCGCTCCTTCGATACCATCGAACGGCGGAGGAGTTCGGGGTCACCGGAGTGGATCGCCGTAAGTTGGAGCGATGTTTCCGGAAGCAATTCAAGGAAATGAGCCGGGAGCATCCAAACTTTGGCCGTTTCTCGCCAGGATTGGAGTGGCAGCAGTGGTGGCTTCAATTGGTGACCCAAACTTTCAGCTGCGTAGACCAGGGACTGGCTCCCGAGAAGCTGGAGGAGATTGGCCGCCGACTAATTGCCATTTACCGGACCAAAGCCTGTTGGAAAAGTGTTGACGGAGCCCAGGAACTGGTGCAGTGCGTCCGCAACGCCGGCAAGTGCGTGGGCATCATATCCAACTTTGACCCTTCACTTCCGAAAGTCCTCGACGCCATGGACTTTGCCGGAAAGTTCGATTTCATCCTGACTTCGTACGAGGCGGGTGTTATGAAACCCGATCCCAGAATCTTCGAAATCCCCTTGAAAAGATTGCAAATCTCAGCGGATCAGGCTCTGCATATCGGCAACAAACTGGAATTTGACTACGAAGGCGCCCGGAATTGCGGCTGGAGCGGATTGCTGGTCAATGGTGGTGGTAATCAACACTCCTTTGCCACTCTATCCAATCTTTTGGAGGCCCTTCGAACCCAGGAGATCCAATGGTGATCCACCAAAGAAACTCAGGAACCACGTTTTCTTTGAATAGCTCATGGCTGTTGTTATTTTCGTAAATTTCTTTCAGAATAAGAAACAGAACAGGGTGTATAGTTAATGAGTTAAAACTAGTGTTAAATATAAATACGCAATAGCCTAGTCGCAATTTTCTAAACTTTTTTGGGGCATTCGAGGGGTTTCCGGATCCTGGCAGTTTAATGCATAACGTGGATTATTATAACCAAGCATAAAAGTTACTCGACACTATTCTAAAGAATATCAAATGGATTCTTTGCGAATGTGTGAAATATAAATTTTTTTAAGGTAATCTTAATTTAAAATTAGCTTTAATAGCAACAAATACAGTAATAAAATGCAGTCTATCAAAAGTTAAATAAACTGATCAATCCATCACATCCCTGATTTTAACCTAAGTTTACGGAATTCTTATCGAATGTGTCATAAGATATATATTTTAAAAAATATTTCTTTTTTATTTTTCTTTCCCTGGTTAAAAGAAGTGTGGTCTCAAAATCATAGAAAAAATTAAGCCACAAATTTAATTTTTTGGCGTTTACAGAATGTTAGGGAGTTTCTTATATTAAAAATGCTTTTTATAGTAAAAAAAACAAAAAGAAAATCTATTTTTTTAAGAATCTAAATCTTTTGAAATCCATTTTACGAGCTATTTATTTGCCTATCTATTTTAGCTGATTGAAGTGTTACTCAAAACCTCCGCTCGAACATCCCCTGCTTAAATACCTAGTCCGATTAAACTATTCCTGCAGACTTAACCAGTTAATATATATACACAAACGACCTAATACTATATAAACAGATTAAAAGCAAAAGCTATTTGTGACCCGAAGTTTTGGGGAATGTGTGCCAGTTCTTGGACCATTTACTATGTGGCCTTGGTTGCTTTGGCAGGCATTTGTGCCTTGGCTGCCTTCAGTTGCTCCAGATTGAACTGCTTCCGGATCTCGGTGGACACCTGTCGAATGACCGCATCCGTATTGGCCTTGAGATCGCGTTCCAGGACATCGATGTCCACATCCTTGCTTTCCAGCCGCATCTGCATGTCCGAATAAAAGTCGCAAAAGAGCACGGGTTCATCGGAGCCATTCGGCGTCCTCGTACTGCAATATTGTCCTCTCCGATGGAGATCGTCGTTGTTGGATTTGGCATCCAAGCCCAGCAGCAGTCGTCTCGCACCCAACGGCAATTGCTGCTGGATCAATCGTTCGTGGTTCTGGGAGATGTGGTGCTTTAGCTTCTTGAACTCCTTCACCTCGTTCTTCATGTACTTCACATAGCTATACATCTTGGAGGTTTTCTTGGTGAGGTTCTCCAGACAGCTGATGAAATTCCGCACCTGCTGGGTGCGCGGCAAAGTGCTGGGATCCAGGCGCTCGGCCTCATCGAAGTGCTGCAAGGAGCGATTGAAATCATGCTTCATGGCCAGAGCCGAGGCCAAGACCACATGGTTTTCGGCCACATGTGGGGCATGTTCCACGGCAGCGGTAAGTATCAAGTCGGCATCGGCTAATCTGCCCATGCGGAACAGAATGGTCCCCAGACTCAGCAAAGGGATGTCCTTGAATATCGGAGGAGCCAACAAGGCAGCTAATCTGGCACAGGGCAGAGCCTCCCTGGCATTTCCCCGCATTCGCCAGTAGTAGGAGCTTAGGGTGTGGAATTTCCAGGACGCCGGATGATGCTGTAATCCATCCACGGCAAATCGACGGGTCAGCTCCACCGTGGCCATCCCGACATTGGTGTCATGTTCGCGTTCCAGGAACGCGGCAGCCAGGACCTCCGGTCGGAAACTCTCCAGATGATCATAGGTGGCCGGTCCCACACTCAAACGGTGGTAGTCACTGCAAATTGGCTCCATTCCCATGGCGGAGGCACTTTTCTGGATATGCAACTGTCGCTGATCCGGCAGGTTAATCCTCTTCAGCTGTTCGGGGGTGATCTTCAGATAGGACATCCGTTTCTCCAGCATATAGTAATCCATCGCGCATTTGGCCTGCTCCGCCAGGTCCTCCCCGAATCTCATGGAGAATCGCAGGTGCTCCACTATTTGCTCCCGTTTGCGAAGCAGGTCCAGATAGGACCTCTCCACGTACTCACTGTACCTGATCTGCTCCAGAAATGCCGCCAGATTCTGGGGCTCACGCATGTGGAAAGGTGAGTCCAGTTTGGGTACTATCTGCTCCTCGCGAAGGACCCAGTGATTGCAGGCCAGCAGCAGGTGGATAACCCCGAGGAGCACGGCCAGCGGACACAGGCGCATCTTGGACGAGGGCTATTCGACCGGGAGGATCCAAATCGAAAAATAATTCGGCAAATCCAAACAAACTTGCCGGCGTGTGACCAGAGCGGAGAATCATGCAAATACTAAGGCTAAGGTTACACTGCATTGGCTTTAGTATTTTTTTATGGAGTAGGAGCAATAAGGACTCGCAGGACATTTTATAAATCGCGAACTCCGAAATTTAGCACCAATTTGCTTCCACGGGTTCCCATTACTTAGGTCCCAAGCAAAATTCGTTAAATTGTGAAACCAATTCCAGGCTAATTGTGCATCTAATCCCCTTAAACATTGTTTTTATTGATCTTTAATACCAGAGGATATGATAAATATATATGAAATAGATTTCCGATCCAGTTCATTTATTACCTTCTTTCCGTTACTAAGATGCTAAATTACATAAAAAGGGTATAAAAATAGCCAAATAATTTAAATTTAATAAGAATTATTATTAAAGCAATGTAATTACATTTTTAATTTAGATAAGTAATGGAAAAAACAGAGCTTTTTTTAGATAATGTCATATACATGGTATTTCTTGAAACTGTCCATTTCAGCGACGGATGGTATTTATTTACCGGCGCAAGACTGCAACTCTTAATGTTATAGTCAGCGCACAAAGAGCGTCCAAGATGAGCTTTTTAACCTTTTTGCCGCTGTGCCTTGGCCTCCTGGTGATCCTGCCCCGGCCCCTCGAATCCCTGGAGCCTTTAACAATGGGCGCCATCGGATTCGGGGCCCTGGGACTGGGTACTTATTTCAAGGAGCACACGTATTGCCGCTTTACCGAGTGCTGCGATGATCGCAGCATTCCGGGTAATATCAATCGTATGTATGGAATCTGTGTGTGTGTGAGCATATTTAATTAAAAAGGGAGTTCCCCGACAGAGTTGCGAGCATCTTTGGAGAGATCCTTGTTCGGGCAGCACATTGTGGCCCAGCATATAGTTCCGGCCCTATTGGCCCACTTCAGCAAAAGCAGTAACTCCCGGAAACCACTGGTCATCAGCTTCCATGGACAGCCGGGAACGGGCAAGAACTTCGTTGCGGAGCAGATTGCCCAGGCTCTGTATTTGGAGGGCTCCAAGTCCAGCTATGTGGCCAAGTATCTGGGCCAGGCGGACTTCCCCCAGGCAGAGCGAGTGGGCGAGTACAAAGAGCGGATCAATCGGGAAGTGCGTCGGCACCTGCGCGATTGCCCAAGATCCCTGTTCATCTTCGACGAAGTGGACAAGATGCCCAGTGGGGTCTTCGATACGCTCACCTCGCTGGTGGACTACAACGCCTTTGCCGATGGCACGGATAACACCAAGGCCATCTTCATTTTCCTGTCGAATACGGCGGGCATGCACATAGCCGATCATCTGGGTAATCTGATGAAAGGCGGAAAACTACGAGAGGACACTCGCCTGAGTGACTTTGAACCTCTGGTGAAAACGGCCGCTTACAACTTGAATGGCGGCCTGAAGAAGACCACCTTGATCGAAGCCCATGTTATCGATCATTACATTCCGTTCCTGCCCATGGAGAAGGTCCATGTGGTCAAGTGCCTGGAGGCCGAGTTCCGCCGTTGGAATCGCTCGCCCGATCGCCAGATCATCGAAGATATCATGAGCTCTTCAATTAGCTTTGATCGCACGCATGGCCTTTTCGCCATTTCCGGCTGCAAAACGCTCGAGAAGAAGGTGGGCATGGCCATTAACTAGGGAAGTGATGCCCCTTACACATTTTGCATTGTATTTTTGAGACTATTTTATAGAATAAAGTGAAACAGGTTTAACTACCAGGGATTCAACCACTTGAGTCGGGCGTCTTTGCGTAGGAGGTCAGTGTCCAGACGTTTGGGCTGCTCATCGTAGTCCTGGCGAGCTTCCAGGCGGGTTTCTATGGGTCCCAGGTCCTTTGTGACCAGGCACTCGCCGTTTTCCTTGAGTATCGTGTGCCGGACATCCTGGGCTGTGGGTTCTCCATAGGGAAACGTCACCGGGGTCACCTTCACCAGGTGCTTGATTTTCCACAGGCGGGCATTGTTCTCCGGGATGTTCTTGACCACCGTAAAGTCACTTTGCTTGCCATCGAGGCCCAGATCCTTGAGGATTCGCTTCTCCCAGTAGGGATTACCCTTCACTGGCTTGATGCGCTGCACCCGGAAGAGTTTAGACGGCTGCACAGGGGGATCCTGATGACCGGGGGTCCTTGAAAAGCGAGACATTCGGTTAAAACACATTATAATGTTTTTAAAAAACCTTTACCTGGGATAATAGGTAATCCCCTCGAATTTCTGGCCATCGTTGTAGAGAAACTTCTTGTTGTGCTTTCCGTAGCTGCGCACCGACCATGTGCTGCTCCTCAGTGGTGTAATAAGCCTTCCGATGTTCATTTTATTTAATTATTTTAATTATTTACCGGAAAGTGCAAAGAAAACAGCACGGTGAGGTAGTTATGAAATACAATAACAAGCAAAGTATCGATAGGCAGCTGCTTTTTTTACTCGATAGTGCTGTTGGGCGCACAAATGTTAACCGTTTAAGGATTATTTTTTATTTATTCCACTAAATTGAAGAGAAATCGTTTAATATTAATTTATTTGTTTTTTACTTGATTAATTTTATGGACTTGTTATTTTAAGTTATTTTTCATTAACATTTTTATCGGCTTACAAATACAAAGAACAGATTATATGTTTAGTAGGTATCAGAAACTAACAAAATAAAAAAACAAAATAGTTGGTTTAAGTGAAAGAAATTATATATTTTTATTTGTTTTAATTAAAATAGCCTGCATCTTGTAAAGCGATGATATGTGAAATAATTTTCTGAACATTCGACTCCAAGCCAAAAACAAAACGAAGAGTAACCGCCCGCTGTTAACCGGTTGCTGTAAACCCTTAAAACCGTTCTGTAAGGCGTTCAAGTTTGGCGCGCACTTGAATTTATAACCTCCAACAGCATCCGTGGGGGTTGTTTCCCAGCCAAAAGGGGCGGTCTTTTGCCGAAATAACCGCCATCTTGTTAGCTTCAATTGGCGCTTCTTAACAGGGGTGGATTATTTGGCATTGGTGGATTTTCCAGAAAATGGGGTTGTTTGAATTTTTGCTATAAAGGAAGCTGCAGCTTCCTGACCGAAAGTCAGTTCGTTGTACGTATCCTTGAGGCGAGCAGCGAAAGACAAGTGGATAACAAGGATATCTTCAACGTAGGAATACTCTGCACCTGTGACTGCTGTAAGTTCAAAGTTTTTAAGTGCTTTGGTATAACAAGAGTTTAAAGAAGTGAAAAACTACACGACGAACTGTTAAAAAATATATAACAAAAATCAAGTATCAAAATCGTTGTCAGTCAATGATTTGGAGTTTAAAAATTTAACTTATATGCTTACTTTAAATAAAATAATACAAATAGTTACCAAAGAAAGTTTTTAAAGTGCTGGACAGAAATTACGCAATGGTTTCAAAGAATATTATGAATATCAAATACTAAACACATACAATATCAAATCGTAAGCATATGAGTATCTCAACCTTTTTAGATTATCAAAACTTATACATTTTGTATTTTGCAATTACAATATCTTTGGTTTTAATTTGACATAAATATTTTAATTAAAATTTTTAAATGTAAATTTATAAATGTAACATTTTTTAGTCTTCCGACTAATTGTAATTGAAATTTCAATCTCAAGTGCCATACCAAAATTATTCAAGTGACAACGAAAACTAATATTCTAATTAATGTTGGTCAACATGTGGTCTGTCCGACATAAGTACTATTGGCTTAGAGCCTCTGGAGATTTACGAAACGCCCTGTAACTTGTTCAAATTAGATCACATTTCCATCGATTCAGTGGCAAAATCTCCTTATTCGAATACAAAACCCAAGAGAGCAATGTGCACGTATTTGACTTGATGCAATTTGTGCGACTTTTCAGAAAAACCCATTAAACCAATATATATATATATATAAGCCACACGTAAACCGCTCAGGAACAAAAGGGTTCAGGGTGTTCGAATTTTCGAGTTTTGAAGTTGAGGGGTTACGATTTCTGAGGTTTGCCAACTCCCGTGGGCGAATAAACGTGCCGATTGTTCTGCTATTTGTGTAGGTGTGAAAATATGCTGCGAATAAACAATAAACACAATAAGTACAATAAAAATAAATGAAAATAATAGCAAACGCAAACAGAATATGCCGAAAGGGGTGTGTTTTCACCCTTCATCACAAATGTCCACAAATGAACCATAAATAATGCAAGTGGCCAACCTCTTTGATTTGAGGGTCTACACATATTGGGGTTAAGGATTCCTTTGAATTAATTCGATATTATTTCGTATTTCTTTGTAAAAGACAAAAGTTTCTTAAGAACAATTTTCATCTACAGCACATCATAACTTAGCTAAATAGGGTCAAATCATGGTGGAAGGTATAACATTCCGCAACTCAGATCGTTCAGTACTCAAATCTGGCATCAAAAATGTATACCTGTTTTTTCATCAGTTTTTTGACAGGGGTTGATTATAGAAATGTCGAACGAATCGACCCAAGAAAACAAACCAAGACTTAAACATAGATTTTTAGAGAATCAAACCACAATCATTTTAAAGTATGCCACTTTAAAATCGGATGGTAATAAGAAAAATTATAGGCTTAGAAGTGAAGTTTTTTGACACTTTTCGGCAAGCCCATTTTTTTAAAATTTGGAAAATGAAATGAAAATTACGAAAAATTGACCCAAAAATAAAAAATAAAGTGAGGATACAGATTTTTTGAAAATTTAACCACAATCATTTTGAAGTATGCCACTTTGAAATCGGATGATTGTAAGAAAAGTTATGGGCTTAGAGGTGCAGTTTTTTTAACACTTTTCGGCAAACCCATTTTTTAAAAATTTGGAAAGGGGTTACATTGCTTAAAATGATAAAAAATCGACCCAAAAATAAAAAATAAAGTGAGAATACAGATTTTTTGAGAATTTAACCACAATCATTTTGAAGTATGCCATTTGGAAATCGGATATCTGTAAGAAAAGTTATGGGCTTAGAAGTTGCGTTTTGGGTCACCTTTCTCCAGGCTGTTGGAAACTTTGAAATATTCCAAACGTTAAAATCAAAAATTAAAATGCAGATCAAATGAGAACTAATGCGAAAAGCTCTAGAGGATTACCTCTCTGCAAGCCTCAAAAATATTTTTGTAAATCAAATTGAAAATTACTTCCGATGACCTAATCCCTAAATCCACGATAATACCTTTCCAGCTTTTAGGAGCAGGCGGAGCCAGTTCCACCCAAATCCGAGAAACGAAAGGAACTCCAACATGGTCTACGACATGACCCACATGGCGGCGGGTCCGCCGCAGAGTATTTCGCTGAGTCGCTACTATTTGCCCGACGAGGACGAGATGGTGGGTCCTAACAATCCCCACCTGGTCAACGAGGACTACGCGGCCAGTACGACCTTGGACATCGATAAGCGCTTCCAGGCGCGAATGGCCTGTGAGACGGCCGCCCAGCCGGCCCCGCCCCCACCGCCCACGCCGGCACCGCGTCGCCGGACCACGCCCATCGCCCACCTGGATCCCTCGGAGCTGGTGGGCCTGTCCCGGGAGGAGAGGCGTCGCCGGAGGAGGGCCACGCTGAAGTACAGGACGGCCCACGCCACGAGGGAACGGATCCGGGTGGAGGCCTTCAATGTCTCCTTCGCCGAGCTGCGCAAGCTGCTGCCCACTCTGCCGCCGGACAAGAAGCTCTCCAAGATCGAGATCCTCAAGCTGGCCATCTGCTACATTGCCTACCTGAACCACGTGCTGGAGACCCCCTGAGACAGCGCCGGCGCCTCCAGCTTCGCCACCAGTTGCCTCTTCAACGAGGCCAATTTCTTCGCTCCCCCGTAGGAGGTGGGGGGGCGGCGCAGTCCAGGCTCAGGTCCAGGGGGCGTGGCCGGAAAGGCGTACGGTTATCCTGTATCAGATAAATGGATAACTTGGCCTTTCCTTGGCCCACTGAGCGTGGTGTCCCAACCTGTCATTATAGTACTGGGACACCAGTCTCCCTGGCTTGCTAACCTTCGGTTATACCACTTAACCAAGAGTTACTGGACAAGACAACAGGGAAAGAGTTCAAGCCTTTCCCAGATAAAGAGTCTACGAGATTCCTACATAAGATATGTAATTATTTTCACCAATTCGGATTCTGAAACCTACAAAGATTCAAGTGGCTTGTTAACCTATGGTTATAACATATAACCAAATGGTTTATAACCAGAATCCACAAATAAACTAAAGTTTTCTTATAACAGATAAAAGAATAACAAGTAATATCTGTACTTAAAAACTATTTAAACGGAACTTTAATTGACATTGACCAGACTATGTTTATATTACTTAACCACAGGATGGTAAACTGAACTTTAACTTTAACGCCTGCTATTCTCTAGTCACTGTTGAAAAACAAACTGCACACCTTAAAATATAGTTTTTTTTTTTTTTTTTTAATAGATTAAGACTTTTGACCAAAGGTTAAAATGCTTATTGCAATAAAAGATAAATAAACCTCTAGAAAATTAAAGAACGTTTTCGCAGAAGGTGGTAAATTGGTCATAGATTTTAAATGTACTCTTGATAATTTCATTTCATTTGTTTTTTTACCCTATTTATATTCGATTAAATAAGATTTATGTGTAAAACTTCCAAATGCTTACGGCGCCTTAAACTATAATACAAAATGCAATATCTTATAACTCTAGAGATTTCGTGTATTATATAAATATATAGCATACAAAAGAACACTTTAAGCCATAGGTTATGTCTAAATAATCTTTAACCATAGGTATACAAACACTACTTAGTACTAATCACCTTTTTTTGCCTAGAGTTTAAGTCGTGATATTTGTTTATAATCTAACTAAACTGTGTGTGGGTATGTATGCTAGCCAGTCATCCAATAAATATAATATATAAATATACATATAAACAGAATATAAATCTATGTCATGTGTTTTTTTCGGGTTTTAACGATTTTTCTCAACCTCTGGGAGTGAAAACTTCGCTTGATTTTAGACCTCAGCTGGTGCGGCTGGGTTTTTCATTTGCTTGGCCTTTTTGCTCGGAAAAGCCAGATGCTAACCGCCCCCCAAGCCCCCTAAAACGGGCGTGTCCTGCGGAAAAGGCCCCGCCCCCAGAAAAAACAGGGCCACCTGTGCTTCAGTTTTCAGACTCGGTCTGTATTTTAATAACTAGTCAAAGCCTTGCCGAAAAATTGTATTTTGTTATTCAAAATTAGGGAAGAAGGAAAAAATTCAAAAATGGCCCTGCATTTTAGCGCGCAGCAGGTGAGCTTAAAACACCCTGTATTTCTTTTTTTTATTGGGAGGCTGTCTGCCAGAGTTGCCAGCTTTCTATAAATAACGGCCTAATTTGGTTGGTACGGGTAACGGTGTACATATATCCATATATGTATAATCATTTTCGCAACGATAATACGATAATAACAACAACGTGGCAATGGCAACCAATTTGCTGTCCTTTTCCATCCTGATAAAAGGGGCTTGCATTCCGACAGTCTGCTATTTTTGTGGGTGTGGGTGTACAGACGTCTATAAACAAAAACAACAGCCAGGCGACAAAAGAGTTGGCTTTAATAGAAGCCTAAGTTCGGATTTAAACTTGTAACTTGTTAAGATTTTAAATTCAAGATTTAAGATATTTTAAATTTATAACTTATAAATTTATTGACTTTTAATGTTTCTTTTATATGTTTTTTTTGTTGTGATTATCAACCAGTGTTTTTTATATTATGTCGCTCACTAATGCAACATTTTGAATAGAGTTGCTATTCCTTTTTATATTTTCTAACTAAGGATTTAATTTGAGCCTTTTGAAATTGGTAACATCCTGGAAAATGTGTCGCCTGTTTTTGGGCTCTTGTTTTTGAGTGACGTACGCATTTCCCCTTGCCGATTTGCTCCGCTCTTTTCGCCCCTTGCACATTTGCAAATAGCGACAGTTAAAGTTTATTTACTTGGTAACGGTAACTTTGGACCAGGCCTTTTGCTTTTGGCCCCCTTCGATCCGAGTTATTTCCCCATATACACACACAATCGCAACGGAATCGGTTAACTGACGAGCTGAAGGAATTTCTCACAAAAGATATATAGAAATTGGTATTTGAAATTGGAATGTAAATATCCTGGTGATGGTTTCATTTAATGCTTTTCCAATTGGCCAAGTCGACAGCTGTTCGGGAAATTGATTTGGATGAGGAATCGAAGGGAGCTGGAGTTACCAAAAAACCAGAGGATACGGAACTTTGGACCAAAGGACAGTCGTCGACAGAGCGTGAAATTAGCTTAAGTGGTTGTCGCCTCGACCAGGACTTCTGCCACCCGTAAGTCCTTGGCTACAAGTGCAGCAGGATATAAACGATAGATACAACGAGCACCTTATTCCAACCCAACACTTCCCATCCATCCATCCATCCTTGCACGTGTTTACCAACTAGCTTTTTGACTGTCTAATCCTGCGGATGCGAGTGCAAGGACACCATGTGATAAATTGCACCCCAGAGGGTTGCCATAAAAATCATCGCTTTGTGGAGGGGTGACCTCGACACTTGCAAGGGGTGCGCACTATCCTGTCTATTCGGTTCTATCATATCCCATCCTGAATAGAATCATTCAATCCCATCCATCTGGACCAAGTGTTGTAATCTCTATTGTAGCTCCTTTGTTGCTAATTGAGTTTAAAATCAATTTGTATTTTTCACGCTGGAATGTGCTTGAGAGCGGGGAAGTGGATATTGTGTAATTGCCGTGCAAATTTAATTACAGTGCCAACATCCATTGTGGTGACCAGGCACGCGCTGCGAACGTGTGTGCCCTGTCACTCCCCCAAATCACCCATTGTAGCGCCCACTGTACCACCCACAGCACCACCCACTACAGCACCCACTCCACCCATCGATCAAGGCCTCAATCAAGTGTTGACATCCCAGTTCCCCGAGTATCGAGTTACCAGCGGTTGGCCATTTGCATTCCTTAATTGAAATCCGTCCGCGTGGGAAGACATCTCAGATGCGAAGAGCCTTGAAGGTCTATTTTACACAGTTGCACTCCTTTAAAATAGGTCAAGTCCAAAGAGTGTTTAACTCTGGCCTAACATCTTAATTAAAAGTTCAGCTTAAGTCTCTCTTACCTTTTCCAAATATTTCTTCACATTCAACATTTTATTTTACATAAATTTGTATTTAATTATTTTTAAGGTTTAGTTTATAATTTCATAATATCCATTTCATTTTATAATTTACTGATATATTATTGTTTATTTTTTTATTTTATTTTTGTTGATATTTATTTTGCTGTTAGAATGTTTTTATATCCCTTTCACAATACAAACCATTTTTATAAATTGCTAGCATATTGTTAAATTTGATTTTTATATTTCTCGTATTCCTATACCTGTTTGCGGGTAATCCTCCTGATAAATGACTCTGGCTTAAAGATCAGAGCCTCTGTTTTTTAACGCGTCTGGTCCGAAACTTTCGAAAGGCAAACACAAACAAGGCATTAAGTGGCATTAGACAAATGCCTTCCTACACATGTTCCGGCGTAGAGATTACGCCGTGTAATTGGCCCCACCTCCCGGATTCCCGGATTCCTGGGGTTGGTTCCGGTTTTCGATTCGGATGCGGATGCGTTTTATGGGGTGGGCTTTTTTATCAATTGGCTTGTTTGCCCGGGGACCATAAATAAGGGAATTACTCGAGCCGAGAGGCCGTTTTCCTAACAGGTGTCTATCGAGTCCTGGCTAAGCCCCCGTTTCCATCCTTCTGACGTCGATATCCTTCTGTTTATTGCAGTTTGAGGGCCGATTCCAGTCGAAGCGCCTCGACAATTGGGAGTATCCGCGATTTGCCGCCCCCCGCCCACGAGGACTCAAGAAAAACGCCAAGGTCCTGGCATCCAAAAACGGACATCTGCTGCCAGGAGTTAAGAAGTAAGTACTTGAGGAAGTACTCAACAAAAATATAGAAAACGTATTCGGAATATATATCTAAAATATTACTCAAATTTCCTTATCAAATAAGGTTTTTGTTCCAAATATTCTGAAAGTAATCTCTAAAATGAGATTATGACTAAATTTTGTATAAGTCTTCTTGAGACAACAAATTTATTCTTGGATACTATGTTTAATATTTCGTGATATAACGTCCGTTGTAAAAATATCTAAACCTTTTTAATTTTGGAAGGTATTAGTTTAACCGAACTTGGATTCATTATTCATACCTTTAGCTAGAACTAATCTGTTGTGTGATGTGAAATATTAATCACTATTCCTTAACAACAATCCCAGGGAGGGCAACTCCTTCGGACAATATCGAGGGACCTACGAACTTCCGCTGCGGATAACGCGCAGCTTTTGCGCCCACTACGATGCCTGCTTGAGTGGGCGGTACAAGTTCGCGGGGTTTCCGCGTGACCTTTGCAGCTGCCAGCGGGAGAACCGGAGGGCCCTGGCCTGCGACCAGCGGATGACCTTGGGCCAGGAGGGGGATCCCCACTGGATGCGCCAGAAGTGCCAGACCAAGTGCGAGGGCCTCCAGCAGATCCAGGAGCTGCACGATCTCAGCCAGCGCTGCAAGCGCGCCAAGTGCAAAGTGGTGGTGAGTCGGGGTCACCATGTGGCCTCCTACACCGTTTCTTATTTAACTTTATTGGGTACACCCAGAAAAAAAGACCGTAATTTCGCAATTTGGTTTATCACGTAAAATAAACAAAACATTTATATATCAATATTTACTATTTATAATATAAATAGTTTTGTGATAAATTAAGAAAACCAGAAGTTCATTATTGTCCGACATTGCTTTCATTTTGAAAAGATATTAAAAATGTGGATATTTTTAACGATATGTTATTAAACAATGTACATTCCTTGAAAAGATTCTTGTAAACTAATCAGACATTTCGTATCGGTTTTTTCTGGATATACCCATGTGTACCCCACTTAGCACAGCACTTGCACCCTGAACTTTCACTTTCACTGTCACTTTCACCTGCACCTGCACCTGCCCACTTTCCTAGAGCGAGAAGACCGTGAGGATGCCACCCAAGGCATTCAAGGTGGCCTGTGTGGCCACCGAAAAGAGGCGGCGAAAACGCACCATCACCGCTTTCCCTAAAACACGACCTGCGATGCATGCCAACGAATCCGCGGCCTCCTATGAAAGTCGCCATAAGCCGAATCCTCCTCCTGAAAAAGCGAATAAGGATAAGAAGAAGGACACAGTGAAGGAAAAGGAAAAGGATAAGGGCAAGGATAAGGATAAGGCCAAGGAAAAGGGCAAAGAGAAGGAGCAGAAGGCATCGAAGGGCCACTCGTAACATTTGGCAAACTCATTTGAAGTCTATTAAATATCCAATTAAATTTATTTATCATATTTTATAACTTATTATTATTTATTGGTAGTGATTTAACACTAGCACATTCACTTTCATTAGCTTTGATAAGTAACATCTTACTCATGAAATGAATACTTTTCATAACTCATACCCATCTCCCATTTCATTCTTAACACATTTGATTAAGGAAAAGAATTCTATATGTAGTATCACTTTGGGCTATTTAAAATTGTATTTATTTAACCGGAGCTTAAATAGATATTAAGTTATATTTATTAAACAGGAGCTTACATTTCCTAACTAGTTGGTTTCATTTATTAGTTTTATTTTTTTGTGGTGTCTTGTTACCATCTCCCCTTCTTTTGTGATCTTAATAATTGTATTACTCTTTAACCGCTAATTAGAATCACTAACCTCATGTTAACCCATCTGTGTATACATAACTCATCTTCATCTCATCCCAACTCCATTCGCATCCATCTTAATGTACAAGTGAACCTGAAAGCGAACTTCACCATCCAACCATGTCGCAAACAGCCCTTCCGGAACTTGGATACACCCCTGGGGATTTGACGGAGCCGCAGTTCCGGCTACCCTCGCATCAGCAGCTCCTCGACCAGAAGCGGGATACCTCCGATGGTATACCACTAAGCCGTCTTACTTTGGACACGCGGGACACGCAGCCCATTAAATACCGAGAGTTTCCCTCCCTGGCAGCTGCCCAAAATCGCTACACGGATCACTTGGAGCGCGGTAGTGAACTGAACTTTTCCGTTTTGGAGCCCGGCAAGGATCTGATCTCACTGCCCACGGTAGCGGTGCGTAACTTCGACTCGGATCCCGATCTCATCAAGAAGATGCCGCTGCACTCGATTACGGAGAAGCCCAATGAGCGGTGTCCCTCGCCGGTGGTTCCGGCCTATGCCAACTTCGAGCTGGCCAAGCGGATGCACCAGGACAACCTGGACCACCAGCCGCTGCCCGACTGCGTGGCGGACTTGGCCTTCCGGCGGGCCCAGATTGCGGGTGGTCACGCGGGCCTGGCCCTGGACATTGATCCCATAGCCACGGGAGTGGGCGTGAAGACCCACAACGCCGGACCCACGCACTGCACCAAGATGAAGGTCTTCCGCCCGAAGACCGGCGGTGGCATCGTGCCCCGGGCTCTGGGCCACGGAGATCCCTACCGGGGAGTGGGCTCTGCGCCGGCCAAGAAGATGGGTCCCATGGATCTGGCCATTTGCTGGGACTTCAAGCCAGCCAATCCCGCGGACGAGCCACGCCTGGCCAGGCACATAGATGGCTCCAATGACTCGGCGGGACCGGCTGTCTTCACCTGTGTGAAGACGCCGCGCGAGGAGCACTCCTCCGATTTGGGCAGGTCGGCAGGGGTGTTCACCAGCACTCTGGGAGAAGCGGACTTCTTCGACAAGGATATACTGAGAAAGAGAACGGACTTCGGAGGAGCCCGCTTGGACCGCGAGGATCCGTGTGCCTGTGACTATTCCCCCCCGTCGAGGCAGAGAGCCCGCAGTGTTTCCCGGGAGTCCAGTGCCTCGCAGTGCCGGAGGCGAGGATCCGGCTTCGGAGGACCAAATGGGGGAGTGAGCTTTGGGAACCTGGCGGAGCTACCCGGACGTGGAATGCCCGATCGGCTGGCCAAGCAGTATCAGTCGTCGCCCATGCTCGGCGATAAGGCCTACCAGGCCTTGAGGGAAAAGTACTTGGGTCCGGAGTCTGGGCAGGATTCCTGCCAGACCATGGACTGCCGGCCAACCGGAGGTCCTCCCTGCAAACGGGATGTCCTGCTGCGGCGACCTGCTCGCCGCCTCTGCCACAAGGTGGCTCCAGCTCCACGCTGCTGTCCACCCTCCTTTGGAGGACATGGCCATGGCCATTGCCTGACCAGCAAGGCGGCCTTCCGCGCCGGTGTGCCCAAGCACAACGCCTCCGGGGACTTTGTGGGCATGGAACCGGGATGTGGGGAGGCGGTGCAGGAGGGGCCAGGGTGCTGGTGGTGCCACGCCCCCGGCAGCCGTACGCCAAGAAGAACTACGACATTGAGACGCTGGTGCCGCCGTTCCAAAGCCAAGCGGGCGGAGCGGGACAGGGCGGCTATCCGGAGCACTGGCGCCTGGCCAGCGTCTATCAGCACGCCTACAAGCCACTGGATCAGCGCCGGCGACCGCTCCTCCAAACCGTCTACAAGTAGATCCATGTGTGACCCAAGCCCAATCGGGATATATCTATATATTTAAATTGAATAACAGTTTCCCACAAAGTATGTTTCCAATAAACTAAGTTTGGAATGTGAAATAGTGTTTCTAAACATAATCTCATTCAAACACCTTACATATATAAGTTGGTTTGGAATTTGCCTTTTTTGTTAAACCATTTTTGCAACTGCATCTATACAGAAAAATGAGTTATATGGTCCAAGAATAGATTTAAGTAATGCTCGACGTGTTCATAAGATAATCCACATTATTTGTAGAATTTAGTGTTACTGTTTGGAAAATAATTTCCCTGCAAACCGAGAATTCCCAATATTATATAATTTCCCACCTAATTTGTTTTCATTTCCTTTACATAAGTAGAAAAACACTCGCACACAAGAAGTTTATGTAAAAACAAATGTTATATATATTAAAAAGCATATATAAAAAGACATTGACAAACTTTACATATATGAATAAACGTGCAAACATCAAGTACTTAATACTATAAACATGGTGTGTATAAATTTTCAGCAAGTTTTTTTGGGAGTTCCCTTGAATATTTAAAAAAAAAATGAATAAAACTAGTTGAAATCATTTCATTCATAAAAATTAAACGATGGATTTGGTTTCCAGATGAAATAGGTTTCCTTTCGGTTGCTGGTTTTGTGTGACAATCTTTGGGTGCATTTAAAAACTTAACTAGGTGCTAAAAAATAGTTTTTGAAGAAGTGAATACCTTGACGGAGTGGATCGACTTTGCATGGGTAAAAATATAAATAACCTGATAGGTATTTTGAATATTTTTGCATCATACTTTAGAAGACCCTGCTTTAAGGTTTGAAATGAATTTATTTCCCAATAAAAAGTTAGTGTAGGAACCTCCTTATAAAGTAGGTTGCCCATGCCTCTATGATGTTTCGGCTACTTAGATCCCCCAAAGTCGACCCATTCCGATCCGGGAGTCGCCTCACTTGGCGGTGGCGTAGGCATCGTGGCTCTTGTGGAACACATGGCGCAGCACGTCCCGCGTGGACCGCCGGATACTGTTCCTCAGCGTGTGCTTCTTCTCGTTGGTCAACTGGTCGATGGTCATGTACTCGGTCTGGGCGACGTTCGAGCGGAGCTTCATGGTCCTTTCGCTGCTGTCGATGATGGACACATCCGCGGGTGCGGGCTCCATCTGGAGCTCCACATCGGCCGACTTCTGGGGCCGCCTTCGCAGGCTGTGCCGAATGCTGTTCAGGATGTTGTTGTGATGATGACTTGGGGCATCCTTCTCCTCGGACTTTTCGGGCGAAGTGTGAGTGGGGTGCATAAGTCTTCGGATGGACTTTCTAATCATACCCTTCATGCCGCCACTGGACTTGGCCTCTGCCGACTTGGAGGACTTGCTGGATCCGATGGAGTGGAGGGACTCCTTGCTGGCCGCCTTGGTGGGCAGAGCTGCAGGTCGGTAGGCTCGAACGAAGCGTGCGGGAGCCTTGAAGTCCAGGTCGTCGGGCTCCTCATCGGATTCGGAGGCATAGGCCACATCGCCCTCCGGTTCCGCCTCCTTTTCCTGGAGGTTATTCTGCTCCAGGAGCTGCTGCTTTTCGAGGAGTTCTTCGGCCAACTTCTCCTTTTCCAGCAGCTTAACCCTTTCCTGGAGTTTCTCCCTGAGCTGCTCGTGCAGCTTCTCCTGCAGCTTCTCGCGCTCCAAGTGCTTCTCCCTCTCCAGGAGTTTCTCCCTCTCCAACTGCTTCTCCCGCGCCAAATGCCGTTCCTTCTCGAGGAGCTTCTCCTGCTCCAGGATTCGCTGCTGCTCGAGGAGCTTCTCCTGCTCCAGATCCTCCTTCCTCGCCTCCTCCACTTCGGGGTCCTCATTGATTTCGGTGAGAGTGCGTCGCCTGGTGCAAACCAGACGCCTTTCCACTTGGACCTCTCCCTTGACCACCTCCTGCATCATTAGCTCCTGCGAATCCGTTTCCATGACCAAGGAAACCTTGGCATTCTTGTGCAGTTCCACTTCCAAACTATTTCTGGGCACCTCCTTGTCCACCAGCACGCCATTCTTCCTCAGCTTGGCCTCGTTGATGCTGTTCTCCAGCTCCAGTTGATAGCGATCCAATTCCCGGCCAATGTCCATCGAGGAGGACTCCTCGCTGATGGCGCCCAGTGATCTCTTGGGAGCCGGAACAGGTGAGAACACGAGCTTCTCGGCCAGCAGCTTGCTGGGAGTCAACTGGGCCAGCGACATGCCGTGGAAGTCGATGCGACAGCCGAGGGTCGGGGTGAATGGCAGACCGATCTTCAAGCTGGTGGGCAGCGGCTCCTCCAGTCCCGGATTGGCCACACCCGAAGGATTGCAGGCCGCCTCGGATGCCTCACTTGGACGGTGGATCTCGAAGGGATTCAGCGAGGCTGGGGCATCACTGCCGCGCAAATTCAGGCCGGGATTCACGAATCCCTTGGCGGGCGTGGCTGCCAAACGGATAACCTGGAAAAATAAGGAGAGTTCAACAATTTTTAAGTTTTTAATGAGGTAACCGTAAAGAGTGAATATGGTATACATTTATCCGAAGAAATCTATCTTGCTAAGGTACAAATTTAATTTGTTAAGTACTCTTTATGAATGACTTTATTATATTGTATTGATGAAATTGTTTTCCTATTTTACTAAGTATTTTAATAATAACAGAAAGCCGAAATGTAAATTATTAGTAGCTACCCTTGAATATATTTTTTAAATGTAGGTGCTAAGAAAATTTTATATTTTGAATCTTGAAAACTAAATCGCATTATATCATAGTAGTTTAGCAACGTAGTTTAATTTTTAATTGTACAAGTCATTGTAATATAATGCTTTTAATCTTTGAATATTTGGTATATAATATAGTTTAGTAATAAATAGTAGTATATTTCCATTATAATGGCGAAATACTTAGTAAGTTCAGTATTTACTGTACCTAAACTAAGCCTTACGACCGAACTTACCTCATAAGGATTGAACTGCTTTTCGGGCAGTTCCAAATTCAGGCCAGGATTCTCGAAGCAGGCGTGTTCCCGCTTTTTCTTCTTGGACGGCTGACCTCGCAGGACCTCGAAAGGATTCGTGGACAATGGTAGTTGTGGCTGCTGCTTCTGGGCAAGATCGGCAATGGACTTCACCTCGAAACCGGGAAACGGATTGCTATTCTCCTTGGCCAAACGGCGGCGACCGATCAGTTTTTTGGGCGTGGAACTGAAGGCAGCGTTGGTGAAGCAGGACTCCGATTCCGATGACGTGGCAGCTGCATCCTGCCGAGCGTCCTTTTCCAGGGGTAGGGGCGCAGGCGGGGGCGGGATCTCCCTTTTGCGCTTGCGCGGCGTCTCTCTATCTGTAAAAGCCAGTTCAGCTATGCTTTTGGTCTCCAACATGGTCCTTTTGGAATCCAATCTCTCTGTTTTTCTTATTATATTATTAACTTCCTCGGAACAGGACTAAATCGTTTTAAATTCAGCGAGCCGTAATTATAAACAACGAAAGGCGAAAGCAAATGCCATTTTGAAAATCCTTCAGCTGGAACCGGTTGTGCACTTAGCCAACACTGGACACGAACCGGTTCAGTTGGGGAAGGGACAACAAGCTATCGATAGTTGCTGCTAAAGTAGTTTTAAATGTAGGAGAAGTAATTCTTACTTCTTTGGCAAAAACATTTTTGTTTATCATCATAAAAAATTAAACCCTAATGAGCTTTTTTTAAATTTAAGTTAGCAATAAAACAAGATATCTAAAAACAATATGTTATTATACATATATATTGCTTTAAGTGTTAAACAAGATGTTGAGTGTGATCTCTTCTAACTGAAGACAATATTGAATTTAATTTTGTCCTTCAAAAAGAAAATGTGCTGAATATTCCTTATATTTCTTTTATTTTTAGCTTTCAATAATATATCTTTCTAATGAAAGACCGTTAAAAATCCGGCCTCCGTCTATCGCTTCGATTGTCATACCCAAATAAAAAGCCGTGTGCATTTTCCAACACTGTCAGAAATGCTGGAAAAACAAAATTTGAAAACGATTTCCTCAAACGCTGCTCCCTGAGTGGAAAAAATAACATACATAAAACAAAATAAGCGGGCTAGTTCTTGAGAACCGAGTGAGGAGTAGTGGTCCGAATCCAAATCCAACCAGATGTCTAGTTCCAAGCATCGCAAGCCCGCGAAATCGTCGCGCGTTCCGCCGCAGGCCAGGGAATATATCACCGAATTGGCAGAGGATCGGGAATTGGAGCGATTCATGGCCTTCTCGTCGACGGCAAGTAGTGGCGCCAGCGGCAGCACCCACAGCTGTGCCTTGGGAACGTTCCTGGCCCCAGGACTCGTCTCCACCGACGCCAGAGAAGCTGGATCTCGACCAGAATCCGTTCACAGGCGTCGCCCGAGGAGCAGCGGCTGTCCACTGGGTAAAGCGTCACCAGATGAGCACCTCCTGGAACTCCCTCCATCACCGCCACTTATCAAACCCGCCAACTCACAACTACATCCTCTGAAACCCCAAGAAAGCCAGTTGAAAACCAATGAATACACCATAATACCCATTTTGATGGACAATAACCAGGGTAATCGACTAGTGGCGGCCACTCAAACCATGTCACAATCCGTGGAGGATCTAAGGACACCCACCAAGCCGCCCAAAGAGATGCACACCAAGAAAACGCAGACTCCCGAGTCCGCGGTGAAGTCCCACAAGCGTCTGGAATGGGATCCTGCGGCCGATGTGGGCTACTACAAGCGCGCGGTGTCCACCAGCAACATCAGCACCTTGGAGCGGTCCGTTCTGGAGGAGTGCGGTTGGCGTCAGCCCATTCAGCAGCGATCCGAGACAGATTTGGACAGATTGCAGCGGCGGGAGGTGGAGGAAGCATCGCCAGTGCAGGACAGGCCCACTCCACCACTGGCCTCGAGCACTTTTGTCAATCCCAGCGACCGCGGGAAGCCCTCGAGGTCCAGGCTGGGCTCCCTGGGCAGTTCCCTGGGATCCAGGAAAGAGGTTTCGCTGGAGATTAACCGCAGCGGCCCAAGGAAGGATGATTCTGGCAGCAGCTCTAGACAGAAGGATTCCCGCAGCATTTCAAGGAAGGAGTCCACACACAGCAGTTCCAAAACCGAAGATACCCAATGCAGTTCCAGGAAAGAAGTTGATGAAAACAGCTCCAGGCAGGAAGGTACCCAAAACAGCTCCAAAAAGGAAGCAACCCAAAGCGGCTTCCAAAGAGAGAGTTCACAAAACATGTCCAGAAAAGAAGACTCGCTGAGCAGCTCCAAAAAAGATGACATAAGGCTAAGCTCTAGAGTGCAAGATCCACAAATCAGCTCCCGCAGAGAATCGCTGAGTAGCTCTCGAAGGGAATCACTAAGCAGTTACAGAAGAGACGACTCGAGGCTCAGCTCGCAGAACAGCTCCAGAATGGGATCGCAAGTTAGCTCAAGACTGGGCGAATCACGTTCCAGTTCGAGGCGGGAATCCCAAGCCACCTCACTTTATGGCAGTTCGGCGGCCAGCAGCTTCGATTACCATATCCACATGGGACAGGAACTGGTCGTGGACAAACTGGAGCAACAGGAGAAGAAACAGCCGGGAAAGGAGCAGGAAAAGAAAGAACAGCAGAAAAGGGAGCAGGACAAGAAGGATGAGCTGAAAAGGGTTCAGGAGCAAAGGGAGCAGCAGAAACACAAGCAAAAGGAGCACGTGGAGCCTCAACATCGCGAGAGGGATCAACGGAGGATTCAGCAGCTCGACAAGGACCAGAGAAAGGCGGAGCTGCGGGAAAAGGAGCGCGAGCAGGAGCGCCAGTTCACAGCGGCCCAGTTCGAGAAGATTCTGGGTAGTCGACGGCGCGAAAACAAGGAGAACCAGCAGCCGCAGTCGCAGCCAAGAACAGAGACCATTCCCTCCACATCCTCCTCATCAATTGGAGTGGGATCAGGATCGGGGGCTGGGCCGCGAGGAGATCTGGATCTGGGAATCGACTTGCTCTGCTCTTTGGTGAAAACTCGCAGTCTCAGCCAAGGCCAAAAGAAGAAACTCGTTAGGGACATAGCCAGGCGACTTGCCTGTCTGGATTTGGCCGAGTCCAGCAGTAGTTTGCGCTCCCTCAAAAGCAATCAGTCCAGCAAAGCAAAGGAACAACCGAAAGGTAGGTTAATCAACCATGAAATAGCAGTCCTTACTAACAATTTCCCCATTGCAGTGCCCAGTCCCCTCAAACGACAGGATGTGGCCACCAACACCTCGCAATGTGGCTCGAGAGGCTCCTCAAAAGGCGAGCCCGCCACTTTGCCGGTACCCGCTCCCCGCAAGCGAGGAACTGCCGGCACACCTTCGCCACTGCCAACCAGTTTCTCGGCCAGTGGCTCGACCAGTGCCTCCCACGAGCTAGTCACCCAGAAGACCAATGTGCCCACGCGAGATGCGGCCTCCACGGACGCAGATGCCGAACCCTCAGATCTGCAGGAATGGCTGAACCCCATGACCCAAAGCGAAATCGAGTACGAGCGGCGTCTGAAGGGAGGTTTCGATTCGGAGCGGAGGAACCAACTCAACTGGATCGACACGGAGATTCGCCGACTGCAGGCGTTGCAACAGCTGTTGGGCGATGCCATAACCATGCTGCCCCGCAATTCCGTGCACATCGAAACGGACAAGGGCTCGGCTTTTTCCAGCGACAAACTGCTGTCAGCCGTGCCATCGGTGCAGTTGCCAACTTCGGAGCGGTGCAGTGGTGGCCAGGAGGAGCCACCGGCGGAGCAGCAAGCTGAGTCATCCGTGGAGGTGGAAAGTGCTGGAACACCCAGCACTCCTCGGCCCCCAGTGAGAGTTGAATCAGTGGGTGTGCCGCCCAGGAAACTGCCTCCGACTCCTGCCTCCATTAGCTCTTCAGATCCAGCGACACCGCCGACGCCACCACCACCACCACCACCACATCATCTTGACCAACAAAAAGCTCAACATCGCAAAAAGATGGCCACTCCCGTACTCATTTCGCAAAGCTCCTCCAGCGGCGGCGGACGCAGCGAAAGCGTTTGCTCCTTCGTGCAGCAAAGGCAGCGACAGTTCCGCGAGCACTACCAGAACCAGCAGCAGCAGCAGTTGCTACTGCTCAAGCAGCAGCAGCTCTACCAGCAGCAGCAGCAACTCTACCAGCAGCAGCAGCATCATATTTGCCAGCAGAGGCAGCAGCAAGGAACGCACGTTCGCCAGCAGCAATTTGTGGTATGGAAAAAAGGATACACTACCCCCTCCTCCTACTCTAGCCATCTCTTTCTTTTTCGCAGCAGTGCCAGAGGCATAATGCGCAGCAGACACGACAGCAGCACGAAGAGCAGGAGCAGTATATACAGATGCAGTACGCCCAGGCGGCGGGCAGTGCCTATGCCACGCTGCCCCATCTGAGCGTAAGTGCTGGCTATAGTTGTGCGGATAACGAGGGAGCCATCTACTACCAGGTGTTGAACTCCCAAGGAGCAGCTGGCTACGTGCAGGCCGCCGTGGTGGCCACGTCAAGGTCCACCACAACCACGACCAGTTCGGCGTCCTCGATGATGTGCATCAGTTCGGAAATGTCCATACCCATGGGCATGGTCAACACGTGCGAGACGACCACAACGACCACCACCCATCAGTACGACGATGCGGACTGTCGGCGGGCGAGGAGAAGGCCCAAGGAGGCGAGGCGTTCGGAGAGCGTCATGCAGCGGCAGACGCTCCAAGTGCGGCCACGTGCCATTGCCTATGTCATCCAGTTCACGGCGACGGGTGGCAGCGAAGTCCTGCCCGAAACGCGATCCCTGCAGGACCAACTGCAGCTGGCTCGTCCCGAGTTCTGCGCCAAGTCCAAGCAGCGCAAGGCCATCCTCAACCAGATGCAGATGATCCGGAATGTTCGACGGCGCGAGCTGGACAATCTTCTGGGCGAGAACACCAGCTTGGAGACGCTGGACAGGCGACTGCTGCAGCTGCCACCACCAGCCACTTGTAAGTTGATCATACTCCCTGCTCTATTATAGAGCATTCAACACCAACACGCACTTGTTGAGTACCATTATTTAACTGCTTTAAAAAGTAAGACCTTTAAAAGTAAGACCTTTAGTCATTTTTATGACTTTCCAAATTTTTGAAAAATGGGTAACTTTTCTTACAGACATCCGATTTTAAAGTGGCATACATCAAAATGATTGTGGCTTGATTCTCTAAAAATCTGTATCCTCACTTTATTTTGTATTTTTGGGTCGATTTTTCGTCATTTTCAACAAATTTTCAAAAAATGGCTTTGCCGAAAAGTGTCAAAAAACTGCACTTCTAGGCTCATAACTTTTCTTACAGACATCGGAATTCAAAGTGGCTTACTTCAAAATGATCGTGGTTTAATTATCTAAAAATCTGTGTTTTTAGTTTACTTTTTTTTTTTGGGTCGATTTTTCATCATTTTCAATGATGTAACTCCTTTCCAAATTTTCGAAAAATGGGTTTGCCGAAAAGTGTCAAAAAACTGCACTTCTACGCTCATAACTTTTCTTACAGACATCGGAATTCAAAGTGGCATACTTCAAAATGATTGTGGTTTGAATGCCTAAAAATTTGTGTTTTTAGTTTACTTTTTTTTTTGGGTCGATTTTTCATCATTTTAAGCAATGTAACCCCTTTCCAAATTTTCGAAATATGGGCTTGCAGAAAAGTGACCTAAAACCTGCACTTCTTAGCCCATAACTTTTGTTACGGACATCCGATTTCAAAGTGGCATACTTTAAAGTGATTGTGTTTTCATTCTCTAAAAAACTGTGTTTCCAGTTTTTTTTTTGTTTTTGGGTCGAATTTTCATCATTTTAAGCATCATCATTTTCCAAATTTTCGAAATATGGGCTTGCAGAAAAGTGACCTAAAACTTGCACTTCTTAGCCCATAACTTTTGTTACGGACATCCGATTTCAAAGTGGCATACTTTAAAATGATTGTGTTTTCATTCTCTAAAAAACTGCGTTTCCAGTTTTTTTTTTGTTTTTGGGTCGAATTTTCATCATTTTAAGTCATGTAACCCCTTTTCAAATTTTCCAAAAATGGGTTTGCCGAAAAGTGCCCAAAATCTGCACTTCAAAGCTCATAACTTTTCTTACAGACATCCGATTTCAAAGTGGCATACCTCAAAATGATTGTGGTTTGATTCCCTAAAAATCTGTGTTTTTAGTTAAATTTTTTTTTTTGGGTCGATATTTCGTCATTTTTATTGATGTTACCCCTTTCCAAATTTTCGAAAAATTGGTTTTGCAGAAAAGTGCCCAAAATCTGCACTTCTAAGCTCATAACTTTTCTTACAGACATCCGATTTCAAAGTGGCATACATCAAAATGATCGTTGTTTTATTCTCTAATATAACCCATTATATGCTTATTAAGTATCTTTTTTTTCTCGTGCAGCACGCTTAAGAATATTTTCCACACGGGAAATGAAGGCCATGACAACCAAGCGATGTCAGAGTTTGCCCGAAGTGTTGGCCGCCCAAAATCGCGAGCAGGAGGAAAGAAGGCGTCGCTGCAATCGTCTGATGAGGGATGTCTTCAATAAGGTGGGTATCTATCTACCTTTGCTTTTTTATATAAAGTATTTTCTAATAAATACCAATTTATTACACATCAGCGCCTTCAAAATCGCGTTGCCAATGGACAACTTTCGCTGAATCACAGCAGGACAATTATCTAGCGAAGATGGAAACAGGAATGTCATAGATCAACTCAAAGGACACCGCAGTACACAGCCCACCAGTTTAATTTTTTTGCCATTGCTAGGCTTTTTATTTTGAATAACTCTTAAAAGATTAAATTTGTTAAACTTCGAAATCAGGTTTGGATTAGTCAGTAGAAAATGTAAGCATTTAAAATAGGTACAGTTGCCTCCGGTTACAGTGTCACTTGTTAACTACTAACATAATTATCTATGTTTATTATAAACCCAGCATTTAACTAAATTTGTAACGTTTTTAAATGAAATAAATTTAACAACACTGACTTTACGATTTTTATTTAGACAAGTACAAAGGGAAAAACGGTGTGGTTATACTTAAGTATTTCTAGAGTAAATTTTTAGATACGATTTCAAGGTGATTGTGTCTATTTACCATCTGGAACATTTTCATTTCATTCTCAAAGATAAGATTGTATAAATCCTGAAATGTTGTAGTTTATATAAGGATTTGAATTAAATAAGCATATCCCCGAGATTGATAGGCTAAGACCGTTTTTATTATACCATGAAGGCCTAACATAATTCCAAAAAATAAAAACATCGCTGATTATTTGTTCTTTTGTCGTTATTTTATTTGAATTCAATTTGTAATCCATTCTCGTTGCGTGTGTCTTTCAGAGTTTACAATTAAGTACACTTTTACAATTTTAAATACATTTATAATCGCTAAGTACATAGTTTAATTTGTTCAGTAGTTTGTTGCTGCTGCTGCATCCACATTAAGTATAACCGATATATTTGATATAATGTAGTTGTGTGCTCCTTATATATATATATGTATATATATATAGGCATGCATTGGGTAAATTAATTTCGTTTATTTTCGTTTAGCTTAAACAACGCTACAAACGCGAAATGCTTTGGTTATTGCTGTAAGAAGTCCACTAATTTAATTATATAAGAATCATGCTTTTCGTATATTTAAATAGCTATGTATTAATATGTGTTATGTGTGTTGTTAAGGCTACAGCAATAAATGAGTTTCGTTAAATAGGATCCCTAAAAAAAGTGTCTAAGCCTAGGCTTACAAATACTATATGACTATACTTAGTTGCAAGCAACACGATTTAAATTACTAGGTTTAAGCCACACTGCGGTTTCTCAAGGCCTCTTTCAATGTACATTGTATTATATTAAAATTACGTTTATGTTTTTATTTATATTTATATTAACTTTAGGTGTGTATTCTTGTATATCTGTCTTTTGTGTCAAGTCTTTTTTTGTCATGCTAATATGTTCGTTGTTTCTTGTCATTGCAGCTACTTAAGACTAATTGTAAAATATGTAAAATAAATTATATAGCTAGGAAAAAAAATGGTAAAAAAAATAGTGCTTGTCTGCAAAGATTTTGATTAGCTTGTTGTTGGTTTGTTGGTTGGACCGCTTAAAATAGGGGTTGGCAAAAAAAAAAATAGAGGTCTCCAAAAAAAAGTTTGGGGGTCTAAAGCTCTGCGGTCATAAATTTTCCCGAAAAAAAACAGCCTGTGGCTTTCTTTCAAGTGAAAATTTAGACGAGCTATTGAGCACATCCCTTTTTGTAAAGTTTTTGCATTATGTTTTTGTTTTTTCTTTTTTTTTTTAAAGTAGACTACCATTAATGAAAACTATTTAAGCTTTGGTATATGTAAGGCGGTACTCCAGAATTTATGGCTCTTGGTTCTCCTGTTCTTTTCGAACCTTTACGATCCTTTTTGATCCTTTTGGATCCTTTTCGATCCTTTTCAATCCTTTTCCTCTACTTGTTGTCCACGCCGAGCAGCTTGGCCGCCTCGTCGGCGGAGGAGAGGAGCTTGTTGAGGATGCCCTGGTCGCTGATGCCCAGCAGGTTGCCGATGAGGTCCGATCCTGCGACGGCTCCTCCGCCCGAGGGCGTGGCCTCGCCCAGGTTCTCCTTGTGCTCGCCCAGCCGACTGGCCCGCCACTCGCTGGCCTTGTCCAGCAGCTCGTGCAGCTTGGGCAGCTTCAGGCCCAGCTTGGAGCTGGAGTTGGTGTTGTTATTATTGTGGCAGCTGTTCTGGTTGTTGTTGTGCGACTGGGGCACGGCGGGCACGGGAAGGGGGGTGTTGGGCGGACTGGCCACCTGCTCGTCGTCGGAGCAGTCGGAGCCCGGATTGTCGCCGTTGTGGGCGCGGCCACTGTGCTTCTTCATGTGGCGCAGCATGCTGTGCTTGAGGGTGAACTTGCGCAGGCAGATGTCGCACTGGAAGGGCCGCTCGCCGGAGTGGGTGCGCATGTGGCGACGCAGGTCCTCGGTGGACCAGAAGCGGCGCACGCAGAAGGCGCAGATCACCTTGCGGTTGCTGTAGTCCGGGTACTTGCCCCGGCTGCTGCCGCCGTTGGAGGCCAGGCCCTCGTCGTCGGAGTGGGCCGCCGACTGCTGCTGGCCGGGATTGGGATTGGGATTGGCGGCCTGCTGGGGATCCAGGCACTCGTTCTCGATGGCCCCCTTGGCCAGCAGCAGGGCGAACTCGTGGGCGTGGGCCTGCTTGATGTGCTCTAGGCACTGCAGCCGCTCTGCGAAGGAGCCCTCGCACAGGTGGCACTTGTAGGGCAGATCCCCGCCAGCCATTGCATCCCCGAGCGGACCGCCAGCTGCTCCAGCTGCTGCAGCGGCGGCGGCATTCATCTGGGCCGCCAGCTTCTGGATGAGCTGCTGCCGCTCCCGCTCCTTCTCCTTCTCCAGCTCGCGCTCCCGCTCCCGCTCCAGCTCCAGCTCCCTCTCCCGCTCGCGCTCCCGCTCCAGCTCTCGCTCGCGCTCCTTCTCCCGCTCCGCCTCGCGACGGCGGCGCTGCTCCTCCAGCTCGATCTCCTCCACGGACTTGGGCACCGGGATGGGCTCGCTGACGTCCTCGGTGGGCACGTAGACGGACATGGCCGACTCCACGTTGCCGTGCTTGCGCAGCAGGTGGCGGTCGCAGTTGCTCTTCGTGGTGAAGAGCAGGGGGCAGTGGGAGCACTTGAAGGGCTTCTGGCCGGTGTGGGTAAGGATGTGGCGGCGCAGCGAGCTGCTCCAGGGGAACATCCGCTGGCAGTAGGGGCAGGAGACGCGGTTGGGGGCCAGGCTGTAGGCGGACTTCTTCTTCGGTTCGGAGCCGGAGCTGCTGCTCGTGACGTCCTCGGTGCCGCTGTTGTTGCTCTCGCTGGCGCTCCCGGAGGCCACCAGACCCTCCTCGTCGCTCTGCTCCATGTGGTTGGCCACGTCGCTGGGCCGGAAGTAGCTGTTGAAGCTCATGTTCTGGCTGGTGGCGTTGTCCACCAGCTTGGCCACCGGCACCAGGTCCTGTGACTCGTCCTTGAACGGCGAGCTGGCCACCTCTTTTAGGGACTTGCCCACGGACTCGGCCTGGGCGATCATGGTCTTCAGACTGCTGGGGTTGGTGGGTGTGGTCGTGGTTGTGGGAGTGGGAGTGGCTGCGGGTGTGGCCTGTGGCTCCTGCATGCTGGTGGTGGTGGTCGTCTGGGAGGGATTGGCTGGCGGTGGCTCGATGGAGGGACTCCTCGAGGGCTTGCCCGCCTTGATGGCCTGCTCCAAGATGGTCTCGGCCATTTTCTGGGCTGCCTCGTTGGCTGGCTGGTCCAATGGCTTGGCCAGCTCCTCCTCCTCTTCATCCTCCTCGTCGAACTCCTCACGAGCCTGGTTGGCTTCCGCTTCCACTTCCGCCTCCTCCTCCGGCTCCTCCAGCTCCAGCTCCTCCTCGTCCTCGTCCTCTTCGAAGTCGTCCACCTCCTCGGGCACCTCGTGCTCGTGCTCGTTCTCGTCCTCGTCGATGACCAGCTTGGGCTCGTCATCGTCCATGGCCAGGGACTGGCTCTGGCCGTTCGCCTGGACGCCGTTGTGCAGGGCAGCGGGATTGGCCAGCGGGTAGCCGAAGTGCAGGAGGGGATTGCCGGCCACGCTGCTGGAGCCGTGGGCCAGGGCCTGCTGCAGGAGATCGGTGTTCTTGTGGGCCTTCAGCTGCTGCGCCAGAATGGCGTACTTCACCTGCTCTGAGATGGGGGCGTGGCCGTGGTGATGGTTGGCGGCGGCTGCGGATGAATTGGAGCCGGCGGAGGCGCCACCATGTCCCATCACGGCTGCTGCTGCTGCGGCGGCAGCGGCGGCGGCGGCGGCATTGGAGGCACCTCTGCCCCTCATCACGTGGTGGCCATTCCTTTGGCGCTGGGCGTAGAACTGCGGGTGCTGTTGCTTCACATGGCGCTCCATGTTCGAGCGCAGGGTGAATCTCGCCGAGCAGTGGTCGCAGGCGAAGGGGCGCTCGGTGCGGTAGCGACGCTGCTTCTGCTTGGGCATCAGCACTCCGTTCTTGATGACCATCTTGACGGGGCCGCCCGGAGGCACTGGCACGCCCACTCCGACGGCCATGGGATTCAGCCGGTGGCTGGGCGGACTCACCAGCGGTGGCTTCTCCGGATTGGCCGCCTGCTGCGGCGGCGGGGGCGGTGCCATGAAGGGGAAGAAGGGGAATCCCGGCGACTGCGACTGGAACATCAGGCTGCGGAACAGCTGCTGCATGTACTGCGAGGCGGTATCTCCACCCACGCCGAAGAGTTGCTGCTGGGCGAGGAGCAACTGCTGCTGCTCCAGGGCGGCGGCCAGATCGGGAGTGGCTGGGCCAACGGGAGGTGCCACCACGGGCGGCATGACCATGGGCGGACTGACCGAGGGCGTGGCCGGTGCTCCTGCCGTGGGCTTCTTGCTGAGATCCAGCACATCCATGCTGAAGTCCAGGCCCTTCTCCTGCTGCTGATGATGGGCAGCATCGGAGACCGACGGCTTCTTGTCCACCAGCTGGTCCAGGCTCTTGACCTGGATCTTCGAGGGGGCTGCTGCTGCTGCTGCACCAATGGCGCACCCAGGTGGCTCTCGCCCAGGAGCATGTGCTTCAGCTGGCAGCCGGCGGTGACGGAGACGGGGCTCTCCGAGATCGGAGGAGCTGGTGGCGGCGGCGGCGTGGGACTGATCGAGCGGAAACTCATGTCGGCCAGGTCCTCGCCCAGACGCGACTTGCCGTCCTCGCAGCCGTTGGCATCCTCCGCCGGATGGTAGACGATGGCCCGCTTCACCTCCTCGCGACTGGTCTTCCCGTGCCGATTGCGCAGGTGCCGCTCGCAGTTGGCCTTGGTGGTGAAGGCGTAGTTGCAGACGGCGCACTCGTAGGGTCGGTCGCCGTTGTGGGTGCGCATGTGCCGCACCAGCGCCGCCTTGTCGCAGACGGCGTAGGGGCACATGTTGCAGCGGAAGGGACCGGCGGGACCCACTGCACCCAGGTGCACGCGGTTGTGGCCCTTCAGGGCACGCAGGTTGGGGAACACCGCCGAGCAGAGCTTGCAGGGGAACTCGCCGCGCAGCTTCATGCGGCGGAACTCCGAGGTGAACGCGTCCTGGGCCTCCTCCTCCAGGTCCCGCCCGTCCAGGCTGTACTGGCTGGAGCTGGGTGTGTTCACCGACTGCTCAAAGTTGCGCAGGAAGCTGGAGCTGGAGCTGGTCATGTTCAGGATGCTCTGGATGTCGGCCAGGTCCTTGCTGTCCGCCGGCTCGTGTTTGATGGGGGAGGGGGGATGCGAGATGGCGGATCCACCGCCACTGGCTGCTCCGCCGGCCGCCTTCTGCCTGAGGTACAGCTGGTGGAAGAAGTCCTCGCCCTGGTGCGGCATGCGCTCCTTGCGGTCGCGATCCTCCTCCTCCTCCTCCTCCTCCCTGTCCACATCCTCGGGCTCCTCGTCGTGCAGCGGCGAGCTGCTGGCTCCCAACAGTGGAGGCATTCCGCCGAGGCCCAGGGATGGACCGCGGCAGCAGTGGGCCTGCAGCTGGCGGTGGCTGGCGAAGATCACCTCGCAGTCGCGGCACTTGGCCGGGATGTCCGAGTGGCGCGCATCCAGGTGGGCGCACAAGGCGGGCAGGGTCTCAAAGTCGGAGGCTCCGCAGGCGGGACAGCTGAGGAGCAGGCCGTGATCGTCGGATGGCGAGGGTGAGGGCGAGCGAGAGGCTGCCCCGGATGCACTGGCTCCGGCCAGCAGGGTGGCCACATCCGGTGTGCTGGTCAGCATGGCCACATCCGCATCGTCCTCCTCCTCGATCTCCTCCTGCGTTTCCCTATCTATGATGTTGTTGTTGATGGTCGTTCGCAGACGCCTCTTCTCCGACGCCTCCTCATCCTGGTCGTCCTCCAGCTCCACCAAATCCTTGAGATTGTTGTTAGCCTTGTGCGAGTTGTTGTTGTTATTGTTGTTGCTATGGTTATTGTTGTTGTTGTGGTTGTTGAGGGAACTGCTACTATGACTATGACCACTGGACACATCCGTGGAGCAGCTGGCATCACTCTCATAGCTCTCCGCCCGACCGGATAACGTGGTGGCCCCCAGTTGCTTCTGCTGCTGCTTGGCGGGATTATGTTGCTGCTGCTGCTGTTGCTGCTGGCGTCGCTGTTGCTGCTGCTGCTGTGACTGCGACTGCTGCTGTTGCTGTTGCGGCTGCGCAACCTGGTGCTGCTTGTGGGTGCGCATGTGGCGGTGCATGTTGCCATTGGTGGTGAAGGTCAGGTGGCAGTAGCGACAGTTGAAGGGTCGTTCGCCCGTGTGGACCAGCACGTGTCTGTCCAGAGACGAGGCGGATGACAGCACCTGTTCGATGGGGAAACGAGAAACGAGAAGGGCGGGAGAAACGGAGAACAGGTGAGTAATCGGGCGAGGATCGGGGGTTGATGGTTATGGCATGGCTATTAAATATCCCAGGACAGCTGTCCACATTATTCAATTGAATGTGTGCAGCGGCTATCAGAGAAACACTTAAATGATAATCAACATGTTACTCTAGCGACTAAGAGATAGGTACATAAAACAAAATAATATTTTTTTAAAAACTAACTTGATTTAACAACTTGATTTCCCAAACAAATTCTGATCAAATTCCCATTAGTGACAATACAAATATGCAACAGACTTACAAGATTTATAAATCATTGGATAAAACAAAATAAAAGTCATTAGTTATGACTTTAAGCTGGTATACATTAAAATTATATTTTTATTGAAAGTAAATTCAATTATAATTACTAACATTGTCCATATTACTTCAAACCCTTGCTGTACCCATTCATTATCAATGAAATGATTTTTAAAGTATTGAAAGTTTAAGTTTATTATATTTTGGAATATTTTTAATGATAAACCTTTATACTCTTAATTGTTTCTGGAATATTTAAATAGCCTCTTACTATTGAAATATTAATCGTATGCGTATCTGCTCTTATAAATTCCTATATTAATTTATTTGGGAACGTTTTAACCTGTATTAAAATTAAATAATTGCGTGTGGATTCTAATTCTGGAAGATTCGAATAGACCCCCTATTTAAATATCTATTTTTGAGCTGTTGTTTCTGTAAGTAATATTTTAATTTGTTTAATTTATAGTATATCTAACCAGTATTGGCAATTGCTATATATTTAATAAGCACACCCTTATTTATTTTAAAAAATACTATGATTTTAACCATATTCAATAACCAGTAATGGTGACTCACCTTGGAGCAGATGCGGCAGGTGAAGTTCTCCGTGTCGCCGTTGGCGTAATTGTGGCACCGGATGTGGTTGGTGAACTCGTGGGGCGTGGCCGAGACCACCTCGCAGATGGGGCACACGTACTTCATGTGCTCGTCCCCGGCCCCGATTCCCGACTCGCCGCTGGAGAGGCACAGTCCCTGGGGCGAGGAGCCGCCGGATCCGCCACTACTGCTGCTGCTGCTGCTGCTGCTGGTGGATGTGGATGCGGAGGCAGCTGCTCCGGCGGATGGAGCCACTGCAGCGGGGTTGCCCGTCGCGGTGGTGCTGTTGGTGGCACTGCTGCTGTTCCCCAGATAGCCACTACTGTGCGCCGTGCTGCTGGCGTCCACGAATCCCGATTCCGAGAGACTGCCGGCGGAGCGATTGAGGCGGAACTTCTTGCGCAGCGAACTGGCATCGCCACTGCTGTAGTCCACCACAATGGAGGCCTGGGTGGTGGCGCCACTGCGTCGCTGCTTGTGGCGCCCCAGGCTCCTGGCCCCAGTGGCGGCCACCTGCTCCTCCGCGTCCCCATCCCTATCCTCCTCCTCCTCCTCATCCTCCTCCTCGTCAGTGAGCAGATCCTGCTGCATGTGACTCAAGGGCTGGTGCTGTTGCAACTGACGCAGTTTGCGCTTGCGCGATGTGACCACCAGTTCGTGGGGAGTGGATGTGGTCTGAGTGGAGCCGCCGGTGCCCCCCAGTTTCTTGGGCGTGCGACCCAGGTCCAGGTGCTCCAGGGAGGACTCCGAGGTGGTGGAGTCCCGTCGCTGGCGCTCCATCTCCGACTCCGCCGTGCTGTTGTTGTGCTGCTGCTGTGCGGCGAGCATTTTCCCAAAGTTTGGTCACCCGAGAGTAGCTGCTGAAAGAGAGGGAAGGGCGGAAGAAAGAAGGAAAGAAGGACTTTTAGTGAGGGGTAAAACGAAAGCACAATCTGTCAAAACAATGGCATGAAAAAGGGCACTTAACAACACTCAAATCAATCAACACTTAAGTATCGCACAACTGGTGTTTTGAAACTATCTAGCTCCTATTAAAATATAAACACAATCAAATTAATGCAAGCCATAGTTTCTTATAACTTTAATTCCACCCCTATCATGAAATAGAGAAATAGTTTTCTTATTTAAATCCACAGAACAGTATAAAGCTACATAATTCCAATGATTTCTATTGTAATATAATATAAAAAATTATCACAGCTTAAAACCATTCTTGATGATATTTTAAAACATTATCAAGTGTTTTCAGCTTTAGCCTTGTTCTAATAATGGTGAATTGCATTCCAATAAGTATTTTAAAAGGCAGAGTAATTTAAAGTAAGAAGCTGACATTAGTAATCAAAAGCTCTCAATAGTTTTGTCTACGTCTGCTGTTATAAGAGTACCTTTTTCTCAATTCCGTTTAGAGTTGAAATGATAATAAACGCTTGAAAATCGAGAGATCCCTTGCATTCTCCAGTCTCCAATGGTCGCGTAATTCTACACCAAATCTTCAGACTCATAAACAGCTGATCGTACGTATGACAAACGAGATCCAGGAAAATAAACAATGCGAAAAACAGAAGCGAGAAAATCGTTTTCTTGCGAAGCAGTAATTATAAGAATTTGCGATCGCAGAAAGTTGCAAGGAATTTAATCCAATACGCATCTGGCAATGCCGCAGAATTGAATCCAAGACGCATCTGGCAGTGCCGCTTGCGCTTATCCAAGTTTCAGTGTGTCCATGTGATGGAAAAATGTGGCCACGCTAATTAGAATTTACCGTTATCAAGGCTATGACTATTAGTCGTTGTTTTAAGTGTATGGATCAATTTGAAAATCCTTACTTCCCATCGAAACACAGAAAAAAACCCCAGAGGCTGATCAAAAATTTCTACCGATAACAAGCCCACCGTTTGCTATATGTATATAATTTTTTTTGGATGTGTGTTAGTTGTTTGTTGTCCATTGGCTTTCGGTTTGGCCTTTCATTTTGGTTGGCTGATTTCAATTTCGCCGTGAGTCATGAAAAGTCATTGAGATAAAGACTCCCTCCCAAATATTTTTTTGGGGCGGGGAATTGGTAGGCGATTTTCGAAAAGTTCACACCTTTATGACCCTGGGAATTATCAATGAACGAGTTTGGTGGTCAGTGAAAAACAAATTTCTAATCAAGTGATGTGAAGTGAAGTGAACCATTTGACATGCAGAGCACCCCGGCGATATTAAACAGATCATCAATCTGCATTAACCCTATAAACGGGACTCATCATCCCCGAATGTTTATGTTTTTCGCTTTCTCGGACCTTGTGTCAAAGTTCAAGGGTTTTAGCATTGGTCATGGGTAATTTTTTGACCCAGCTAATTGCAGGCAGAACTTGACCCAAATAAACTGATGGAAGGGGTTTGCATAGGGGAAGTTATACGAATTAAAATGTATTCAAATATTTTGCATATATTAGGTAATTAAAACATATAATATATTTTTGATTTCAAATATATTTCTTTGGCAGTTTTTACAAATGAAACATCTATTTCAAATGATATAATAAAAAAAATATATAAAATCCTTTCCAATCTTTGTTTTTTTGTTTTCTTTATTTTAAGACAGCTACTGTTTTCTGTAAATAATCTGTTACAGTTCTCTTTTTGGATTTGTTTTAAAGCTAACCCTAAGATCTATTCCAAAATTATCCTTTTGTTAATCCACATTTTCTGCTTGGCTGATATTCAAAACAACAAACACTCACACACAGCACAAAAACAAAAATAAATATGCTTTCATCCAAAGTAAACACAGTAAAAAAATTACCTTAGTGGATATTTAGTTGTGAAATTTTGTTCAACAATTGCGACGGCATTCCAACTTCGGATTTCGCACTTTTAAAACAATTTTTTGGTGGTGTTTTTAGGTATGATATGATTTTAAAATATATATATGTTTTTTAGTTTGCTTGTATATTTTTTAAATAATGATTCTGATAGCACTTTTTGGGTTCACTTTATTTTATGCACTTTTCTTTGGCTTTCAAGCTTAGGTATTCCAAGATTCCCAACGGTTTTTGAGTGGTAACTTAAAAAAAATTAGTTTCTTCAGGGGAGTAGAATTGAGAAATTCTGTTTGTTTATTTGGTTATTTTTTAAGTTAGTTAATTTTGTGTTTTTCTCTGCTTTTCTGAGGCGCCGCGCACGAGTTTTGTTTTTTTTCTTTGAGCGCAGCCGCAGCGCACCGATTCGGCAGATGAAAATCGACTGGTAGATGTATCTACGAAGCCTATATTTATAAAAGCGCTCCTCGTTCTGTCGACGACGACTGCAACGCAGGCTGCGCTGCCCGCGAGAGCGAAAACGCGTGAGAGCGGGAGGGAAAAACAACGAAGAGCGCGCTCTCTCCAAAAAGAATGATGTATATACGACATCATACGAGAGCGTCTTGCGTTTTGCGTCTGTGTGTGCGTTAGATAAAGGCGTCGACTGCGACGCCGACTGCACTGCTCCTCATCGGTGGCAGCGCAGCTTGGATTTTGGTTTTGCTTCTTTGTTGGATTTTTCCTTTTCCTTCTCTTTTCGACTTCTTCAGTTCAATTTTTTTCGGGCGCAAATAGGATTACACACGCATGTGAAAACGAGAGGGTAATATGTTTCATCTTACGGGAGAAAATAGGAGGGGAGAAAAAAAGAAAGGTGGGGCGAAAAGTGAAGAGAGGAGAAAAGGAAGACTGGATAATTCGGAACTGAAATTGGATTTTTTTCTTTTAAGCTATTCTTAAAATTTTTTTCCCAAATTATTATTAAACATTTAAAGAAACCATAAAAAAAGAGTTAACTTCTAAGTAGTTATAAGTTATTTTTTATAAATAATTTAGTTTCACTCAGCTCTCAAAATTAAAAATTTTGTATATGTTCTTAGATGTTCAATTTATTTAACAATATCTAAGCAACCTAAACTTGAAACTATGTATCTAGTATAAAAGATTTGCTAAACTATTTAAATGGCAATTATGTAATGATTTTTTTTTATTTTTCGTCACAACTTAACATGCTTAATAATTTTAACTTTGATAGAACGATGGAATTTTTAACCACTTTCTGTAATGTATTTGTCAAAGTTTCCGGCTTCAAGCTACCAATCTTAACGAAATAAATATTTAACCTAGATAAATACCACTAACACAGGAAGAACTATTAACCGCATTTAAAAAAAAAATAAATTCAATAACCTGCAGCTTTTGTTTATAAGCATTAAGCTCAAATCATAAATTAAACAAGAAAAGGTACAAAGTCGATTTGACTAAATGGAAAAATAATAATATAAATTATAGATCTAACGATATAGGAAAAAAAAAAGGCTGAGGAATACAGTTCTGTCAATGTATGAATGTTTAAATTATATATAATATTTTCTTTTGCTTACATTCTTTACAACATTTTTAAAGATCTAACTTCCAAATATAATTTTGATTTCAAAATACATAAATCATTTTTAGTTTTGTAATATTTATAATTTTAGTAACTTAAATTAATAAAAAAAATGTCAGGAAAGAAACAAAAACCATTTTAAGTTTTTGGGTACATTTCGTTGCCATTGGCCACGATATATGCTCATCTATATCTTTAAACATCCACAGCTACAGATACAGCCGCACATCCATATCCATTAACCCCCGAGCGGACACTTCCTGGGCAGTTCCTCAACCTTAACCTCTAACTTTGCTCAGAACGGAAGTCGGAGACGATCGGTTCTCGTTTGGGTCCCTCTTCACCTTTTCACCTTTTCAGGGTGCGTCATCAACCATCGGCAGCATTAAAATTAACATTAATGCACTGAAAGAAATAGAGTTTTCCTAACTGAAATTATTTAAACTCATATTTTCATACTTTTATTTATGTTCAATATTTAAACTTTTGGTGTTCTTGAATAAAAAATATCTTACAAATTTATAACTCTTATTTACACTTAAATATTAAATAAAAAACATTATCATTTTAAAACCATAATCATTATCATCATAGCCATTTCGGTTTCCTTCTCATATAAATTATATATTATTTGTAGTTTGTAGTCTATACATATTTAAAGCAATAGTTTCTTAGAAACTTTTGTATAAGATACTTTCGTATTTCCCAGTGTCTTTAATGCAAAAGCAACAACGTCGTCGTTACAGTTGACCGCCTTATAAAAATTATAAAAAGGAAGACGAGAGGTCAACTTAAAAGAGTGTCAGCTGCCGAAAGAATGTAAATTAGGTGACCAACCCTTCAGCATCTTCCCCAAAAAATCGATGCATTCAATCGATTCTCCACTCAGAAAAAAGAATATACAATACAATCGTCACGCATAACAATTGTAACAACTGTGCAGAAGTATAAATAAAAGTAAATGAACAAAAAGTACAATGCAAGCAGAGAAAAATAAAAAATAAGACGGCGAAAATGTGCAAAAAATGCAGCCAGAGTTCAATACACTCGCCCACTCACCAATACACTTACACTCACACCGACACAAACACGCGCCCCTACGCACACACACACACAGCGACACGTGCAACGCGCTGTTTGTACACAATTTAATAATATTTACGTTTTATTTATAATGAACTTGAAAAATTTGCACAGTGGTTTAGCGATTATAAAACAACCGAAAACAATTGAAGTATTTTTATTAAGCATTGGAATTATTACTCTTTAAATGGGTTCTTATTAAACCACTTGAAAATTTTCCCAACTAAATAATATTTCCAATTTTGTATTTTTTGAATATGATAAACAACTATTTCCAATGAAGTTATAATAAACTCCATCTTAAATTCAAGTTTCGTTAGCAATTCGAAATCTTGTAGCATGCGTCACTGTTTCCTTTTTTTGAGTTGGTTGCGCATGCGCGTGGGTGGCACAATTACGGCAATATAATGGTAATGGCAATGCGTGTTTAATAAACATTAAAAAAGCCAGCCAGATATTGCATTTTTGCCATATGCAAACATCTGAGTTTCTGTTACAATTTCCCTTTTCAATTTAGACGTTCGATGGAAACGGAAAGTGTCGGCGGTACGAATAACGGTAAAGTGCAGTCGCCGCAATAAAAAGCAGAAGAAGCAGAAGCGTCAGCATTAACATTTAATTGCCAACATTTAGTTAGCATTTAGTTTAGCATAAAACAAATAGCAAACAATGCTAACAACTAAAAATCCCACGCTCTGCTCTTCAACATTGAAAAACTCCCTCGTACTCTTGCTCCATATATTCCCCGCTTTATCACTTTTTTGTAGTGTTTTGTACACAGAAAAATTAATTTTATACTTTTTATAATCTTATTTTAGTTTATCTGTATTTATTTATGTATTATCCAAGTACTAACTTATTTTGTACAGAAACAAATATTTGGTTTTACAGTGCAGTTTTGCATTTCAATTCAATACAAACAAATGAAAACATATCGCTTTTGATCCCTTTATTATACCAAATAAAAATATACAAAAAATATAATTATATTAAGTATATAATGGAATCTCTTAAAAAAATATATATTTTATTATATTTTGTAATACTTTTTTCAGTGTTGGCCATTTATATATTTTTTTCTGTCGCAGCAATGCCAGAAATTCACTTTCGTTTTTTTTTTCATTAAAGCAAATCTAGAGAGTCATAATTGTTTTAATTCGACTCGTTTGTGGTATTGTTTAATGTGTTTAATGGGTCTTATTGTTATTGCTGTTGTCACCAGTGACATGTCAAGGTGACTGGGCACCCAAGCCACCCACTTACACCCACTCACCCACAAAAAAAAAACTCGTTCAGCTGATAAACATTATTGAAAAGGCGCGCGCCGCAATTTTGTGTACTATTTTTCTCTTTTATTTTCACTGAAACTTTGGCGGCAAAAAAGGCTTAATACCACGGAAAAAGAACAATAACTAATACCAACCAAACGGCTTGTTTAATAATAATAATAATGGCAAAAATCAACAGAAAACCATAAAGAAAAAAGGGTTTTTTGACTGTCGAGATAGGGATGTACCGTGGAATTTTTTAAATCTCGACAATATTTTCAAAATATGCTTTCAAATAATTCAACTTATTGTCCTGTTTTGGATACAATTTGTTATTTGAACAATAGAACGTTGGACTCTTCTGGCCAAAAATGATTAATCATCATTGTCACTAATAGTATTTAAACTATAATAGCAACAAACCGCTTATTAATATACCCCAGTAATGTAGGGTGTTACGAGACTTGTGGCCAAACAAAAGCCGTTACTGGTAGAATGCGTCAGTTCACAGTTTGCTTTTGGTGAAATTCCCCGCCAACTTGTTATTGGGGTGGGGTTACGGGGACTGAGTGCAAACTGTTTATTGCCACAGAAATATATATAAATCTAGACAAATTTGTGACACAACAAGTGGGCAAATGGGTCGGGCCCACTTTTTCCACCCAAAAGGGTATTGCGAATGGTTTGGATTAGACTGAAGTCATCATCAGCTTTGGGGAACCCCTATGCGATATTAAAATTCTATCTAAAATGTGACACCCCGGGTAAACAGAACTCTTTAGATAATAGTTCTTGCACTTTTGACAGTTTGTACAAGTTATAGGTAACTTGAAATAATTTCATCATAAAGATCATGAAAAAATCATTTCAGTGTACCTGAAATATCATGCTGATATGCCGACGATAAGAGTCGTTTGCCTAGAAAAAGTAATGATGATGTTATTTTTAAATACTTGCCCCTAAATTTCATATCAGAACCTGTGATTGCTTTGTTTATATTTAATTTATTGCCCTAATTACTATTTTTACTGTATTAACCTTATCCTAAAAGTTGGATAGTTGTTCTTTTAGTTAAGAAATTACTCATATTCGAACCTTTAGGTTTCATATCAGTATCTCTGTTGACTTGTTTAATGCGGCATTTATTGCCCAACCATTCATGGTTCTACGGCACCCAAAACTCAGACAGAGTCTGCACAGAAGCTAAGCTCGTTAGAAACCAATTGACTTTGCCGGATCAACGACACTCCAAAAACCCAAGACCAGGGTCTGCAAATACTTGAGTCTGGCCATAATTTAGCCATTGTGCACCCAGAGATATTGAATTCCAGATTGTTGGACTGACAAATGTCGCCGATTAGCGCACGCGCCGCGTTTCTTCAGGCAGGTAGAACATCCATGTGATGGCATTATATCGTACTACTTCGGTTCACCTCCCAGAGACCGGCTTTTATGATACTGCGGCTGGCGAC